GTTTGCCGTCCCATGGCGTACCTCACCCCTTCTGATATCCCTTCTGCAATACCGCCCACCGTCTCCCTTTCTCTTCTCTGCTCCCACTCCTCCCTACGCCTTCTCTCTTCCATCATGTCTTTGTTCATATTCGCCACCATCTGCATCAAGGCCAATATCACCCCTTGTGTACCTTCTTCTCTCAAGTCCGCCGTACTTCCAGTGTTTTCTGGCCGCGGGGTTTGATCCGATCCAACTGGGGATCCTATAGGTGGGAGGGCATTACCCGAAGGTGTAGGAGGATTAGAAGGTAATGGTGGAGCGAACTCATCTCCTTGAATTGATCCCCCCACACTATCCTCCACTCCAAGCTGCTGCCCCATCGCTCTGCTAAGCTCCTCCAGTGCCCTCCTCTCGTTCTCCTCCATCCTGTCTCCGTCCCTACTCATACCTCGCGTAACTCTCCTATCTGGTTCCATAGAATCTTCGTACTTCTCCGAGGTTCGCACGGGTCGTCGGTAAGAGCGATCCTTGATACTGTCACGGCCGTCGAACAACTATCTTCTGGCAGACCGACGGTCGACGAACCTCGGCTAACTTGACGCTCCTGACTCGATGTCTCACCCAACCGAGAGGGCGCAGACGTCAAAAGGAGTGTAACTACGGCGCACTTCGGCGTAGTTACTCTAACTGGGGTTTTGTTCTACTGATGGCGATGTATCTCGATTTGTATATAGCTATCTCTATCTGTCTTTCACTACTGACAACAATCAAGGATCGCTGAAGAACTTCAGCGATCTTCTCAGCTAATATTATCTACTCCTCCTAGACGTTCATCCAACCCTCTCGCGCTTTGACGTACTTCAACGTACTTCGTCCAACTTCCCCGAGCCCTCGGCCATCCTCTTCCTCCTTCGACTAACTCCGCCTGACATCGCCGCACTTCTCCTCCCATTGTCCCTACTTAGCCTAACTCCGTCTAACTTTGCCGTACTTCTGCTCCCATTGTCCCTACTTAGCCTAACTCCGTCTAACTTCGCCGTACTTGGTGTCAGAAGTCCCGAGTTACGTGTAGAGTAAAGAGGTTAAGGCGTGATGGGGTTTTGATGGCCAAAGGAGGGTCATTGTTGGTGGAGTAATCGAGGTGTCACGACGTAGTTCGTGACATCCGCCAACACATTGTCCGACTTCACGGTATACCTCAAGACATCATCTCAGATCGTGGATCAATCTTCAACTCCCACTTCTGGCGAGCCTTTGTCAAAGGCTTAGGCATCACACCAAACTTCTCCACAGCATTCCATCCACAATCCGACGGTCAAACTGAAAGAGTCAATCAAGTCCTTGAACATTACCTCCGAACATATTGTGATTACGACCAAGCCAACTGGTCCCAACTCCTAGACCTTGCAGAGTTCAGTTATAACAATTCTGTTCATGCTACAACCAAACATTCTCCCTTTGAAGCCAACTATGGTTATCACCCCAGAGATCCCACTTCCCCAGCTCTCTCTGTCAACACTCCAGTTCCATCTGTGACATCCCATATCCAAGAACTCCAAGACCTTCACAGAGCCTTGATAACCAACATACAAAAAGCCCAAACCCAACATGCTAAATTCTACAATGAAAAGGTCAAACAAATCACCAAAGAAGGAACACCAATATTCAAAGTTGGAGATACGGTCTTCCTAAATCGTAAAAATATGCCAGACTCTACGACCTTCACTCAAACTTGATCACCGAATGCTTCGACCATTCAAAATCATTCGAAGTACATCATCCCCACTTGCCTTCAAACTTGACCTTCCACCCACAATGAATATTCACCCTGTCTTCCATGTCAACCTACAGGGGGTGTCAAAAGTTTTCGGACAACCTCGGCGTTCATTGAATTTCCACCGATTTTGGACATCTGATGACCCTGGTACCATGGTACCGCACCCTGAGGTAGAAACTTGTAGAACGTGACCATGAACGTTCATGCTGCCTTCATGTACCATGCACCACTTAGGCTCTATATCATGGCTCCCGTCACCCCCTCTACTCGAGGTAAGATCATTGCTCTAGCAGCCATCACCGATGCTCATCACACCGTCCGTGACATCGCTCTCAAAGTAGGCAAAGCAAAATCCACCGTTTTCAGTATTATCAAGCACTGGCGAGATTGTGGACACATCAAAGATCTCCCTCGTTCCGGTCGCCCTCCGCTGTTGGACGAAGCTGCCCGAGAAGCTCTCATGAATGATATCCGACAAAATCCACGAGACAGTTGGGACGTTTTTGGCCCTCGATTGAACATAAGTCCCGAGACTGTGCGACGTATCGCTAAATCCCATGGGTATCGATCCTGCATTGCACGAGCCAAACCATTTATTAGTAAAGAAGCACAACGAAAGCGAATGGTGTGGGCAGCTGAGAACGAGATACAGGATTGGAGACGAGGGATCTATTCTGATGAAGCGGCAATTGTTCTTGGAAGCACTGGTAAAACAAGAGTAATCCGACCCCCTGGTACCGAATACGACATCGACTACCTCCAACCCACCTTCCAATCTTCCCGAAAAACTCTTCATATATGGGGAGCCATTGCATACGGTCACAAATTCCCCCTCCTCCGCTTTGAACTACTTCCGGCTCGTCAGATCCATGGAGTCAAATATCGAGCCGAGACAATCACATCGGCAATCTATGCAAAACAGGTCCTTGAAGGTCGACTAGGTCATCATGTGTTAGAAATGAGACTGGATGGGAAGGATGTGTTAGTTGTGGAAGATGGTGCAGGACCTCATAAGGGTGTAGCCAACAAAGTGCGTGCCGAGCTTGGAATCAAGAATCTCACTCACCCCCCTTCATCCCCCGATCTAAATCCCATAGAAATGTGTTGGCATTGGATTAAGGCAGACATTAGGAAGCTACCTCAGCGGCCGACAACACTTGATGAGCTTTGGAAGGCGGCAGAGAACGCGTGGGATGCTATTCCTCAAGAACGTATTGATCGACTCATAGACTCAATGCCACGTCGGAGGTTGGCCGTGCTGGAGGCAAACGGAGGGCCTACTAAATTCTAAATATCGCCAATATGCATCACTATCGCTGGTTCATACATGTACAAAATTTACAACAAGACGGTTGCATATGATCATACAAGTCACACGTGCCCTGAATTCCTGACTGATTCCCGTGATGTGGACACGTAGAGATTCAATGAACGCCGAGGTTGTCCGAAAACTTTTGACACCCTCTGTACTTGAGCCAGTGCGCTCCGGTCACCATCAACAACCACAGGACCCACCACCACGTATTCAAGTTGAAGGACAAGAAGAATACCTAGTTGACAACATCCTTGACTCCCGCATCAGTGATGATGGAGGATATGATTACCTTGTACACTGGTCAGAATACTCCAACGCGCATGACTCCTGGGAACCTTGGGAAGAGGTCCACACTACCACTGCCTACAAAGCCTTTCGACGTAAACACTCCAAGAATCCACATCACCACTTTCCTCCTGCTTCAGCACACCGATCTTCAAAGCTAAGCAAATCGACCTGAACAACACACCTTCCCGGCTCAGAGGACTTTGCCCTTAGAGAGGGAGCTCCTGTCATACATCACCTACTTGCCACCTAAGATAGTCTTTTCCCGTGTTCCCACACTTGAAACACATCTGGAACACTTCCCCTGACCCCCTTTGGCTTAGGCTTATTGTTCTTGATCTCCATCAACAATCCCTATTGTCATCTCTTACACTCCCACACTTGAAACACCTACCCCTGAACCCCTGTGCTCTTAATCTATTGTTCCCCTTTGTGTTCGCATGCTTGACACACTTACCCCTGGACTCCTGTGTCCTCTGTCTATTGTTCCTTGTCGCACCCATGAACCTGTAACAGTTACCCCTGGACCCCTGGGTCCTTTGCCTATTGTTCTTAGTTTCACACGTCAGGATTGCCAATTCTCTTGAAGAGAATTGCAAATATGTTTAGCAGTTCTTCCGTAGCTTATTGTTGTAGTTTTGCAGTTCAGCCTGTTTTGCTGTGGATATAAACCCCCTCCAAACAGGTTGTTCCCCACCTATGAATCTCTTGTTGAATCTCATTCTCAACTTGTCAGTCCAGTCAGATCCAGCCTGACATCTTGCAGTTCTCTCAGTTCCCTCAGTACTCTCAGTCCCTTGTCACCCTCTGTATACTCCTCAAGCTCTATGAGCCCGAGACAAGTATTGGGTTACAGCCCCATCTCAGTCACCTTGCTTACCCTTTGGGGATAAGACCCCGCCCGTGACACCTTGCGTCGTAGTCAATTTCCCATACGAGTCGGTCTTGCTCTCACAATCAACAAGGCGCAAGGGCAATCTCTCGCAACAGTCGGCTTATGTCTCTCAAGGCCGATATTTACCCATGGTCAGCTGTATGTTGGTCTCTCTGGCGCACGCTTCAAGAACGGTCTCAAGGTTTTGCTGGAGGATTCAGAGGAGGGGAGAAGAGGTGAGACAAAGAATATTGTGTATAAGGATGTGCTGTTGGCAGCCAGAGCTGCTTAATATGTAATGTGTATAGGTTTGCGGTATGGATTAGACTTATAGTATGTAGTGTATATAGTGTAAGTAGCCTCCCGCATGTGGGGAACTGGGGCGGAGAGGGGTGAATTCTAGTGTCTGGGTGATGGGGAACTGGGGCGTATGCTATGCATGAACTTGAAGAGAAATTTGGCATGGTTCAACTAGGGAACTGGGGCATACACTAAATTCATCTTGACCATCTGCAGTCGCTCCCGTGAATTTCACAGGTTGCAACACTAGTGTACATAAACAATCTTGACAACCCGCTCTTTCCCAATGCGGATCTTTCTCACGCTACTCGTAAACTACTCTACTCTACTGATGTGGTCTTCCCGCCCTGACCTTCTCATTGCGGGCGCCAGCTCGCAAAGTATAGGGGTGAACATGACTCGAATTCCAACGTAACTTCTTCTCCCCATTACTCACCCGTCACACCTCCTACACCTCCTATGCTGTCCAGACTACCACCATTAGACTCAGGGAGTCCATCTCCACAGCTCCGTATGCTTCAATGCATGCATTGAGGGCGATAACACCTTCACTGAGAAATTGGTCAAAACAGGGACTTTACGTAAGTGTCACGAAGTGACAAGACAGTTTGATAGTGATAGTGATAGGATGGGTTGGGTATTTAACCAGCGACCGGCGGTATGCAGTAACCGCCGGTTAATAGGCCTTTTAGCACAGTGGTTTAGACCACTGCCTCTGAAGGGCACTGTTATATCGTCCCAATGCTGGTTAGTTGGTCTCGTGACAGTAAGCTTAGTCGTCCATGCTGCAGATCCCATCCTGCTAACTCATCCTCTCCTTACCTTGACTTCAAGTTGGGCCTTCTTATCCCTGCTTTTTTCTGCCCCATCCTAATCTTTTGGTTCTCCGGGCTACACATTTACAGGGGCTGAGTTTTAGCAGATTCACAAAGAGCAGATTGTGAGGAAACTGGTAGGTCTTCCCTTCTTCTCCTCTTAAATCACTTCAATCGACATCATTGGCTCACTTGGTAGAGGGGTTCAGTTGGTAGCTCTTCTTAAAGTTGACTCTACTCTTCGCAGCTGCCCATCCCCAGATCCCAATCTCGAGTCCTCCCACAACTTAGGACACGCCGGCTCACATTGCCTCCCGAGTCGATCGCCTAGTTCTTCATTCTTTCTCATGGCCGAGCCGAGGCTGTCGCTACCTTACTACGCCTTCCGATCGACTCCACCTCACTTTCTCACCTTCCCACACCCTCCATTCATCCACTACCCTTCTCCTCATAAACTCATATAACCTTGACCTCCATATCCCCACCAATCAGAACATCATACAACCTTCTTTCTACCTTATACTCACCCTCTGACTCACGAACACCACTCGGGAAGCCTCAAAGATACATGGAGCTCTTGTCACGTCTTGAAGAACGCCATCATCATCTGACATACACCGCATCATGAAGGGACGTAAATCACCTTCTCCCTTCTACACTGCTCCGACAAGTCCTGCATCAAGTGCGAAGACAAGTCCTACGCCTACAACCGCTTCTTCAGAATCACAGCACGAACCAAAAACCGTGGATCAGCTTGTAAAGGACTGTGGACAGACTCTAGACAACTTGAAAAGTCAAACAGTAAAATTTGAGACGGAAATCCTCCAAGAACTCAATGCACTGATTGAACAACATCAGCTCGACATAGATCTGACGAATGATCACTCACTGCAGCTAGAGGGATTGAGAAGTGACCTTCAAAAGTCCTTCAATGCAACCAACATCGGTCTACAAGAACTGAGTATACTTAGAAAGATCTGGCAGGGTAGCCTTGAGAAGACCAGGAGGCTCGTTGATCCCGAACCTTACTTTTTCCAGTCAACAGCATCCCGCTTGACGGGCCCATGGACGTTCGTTTCCACGTTCATAGTGGAATTGAGATCCATAAATCCACGCAGGGCAGATGAAATGGTAACGGTCCGCGACTCATGGGGAAAGCTAGCCTTGGAGGCGGTCGAGGAATTGAGCAGCATTCAGAAAGCCTACGCTTTCAGCGGAGGGGGACATGGAACCAAAGGGAAATTATATTATTAATAGGAAAGATGCAGAGGCAAGGGTATGATATGATGATCAGGTTCTAATCTACTCAACTTCTGTATACAATTCACCTGATCAACTACTCCAATTCGTCGTAATCAAGGGGGTATCTGATTTACAGGACATGCGATCCAATGCGGCATTGATGATTCCTCTCTCCCTACTTTCTCCTCCTCACTCAGTCCCGATTTCCTACACTGATTGATCTCGAATCTTCCTCGTTCTCTCAATTTCCTCCCTCACAGCCTGTTGACCTGCTTCGCTCAATCTCGGCTTACCATCCGTATAGTCGGGCACGAAGAATCGTGGGATATACCTGTATGTCAGCGCATGTCTTAGGTTTTGACCGTCGTGAATAGGAACCGCGGAAGCAGAGACGGATGTGAAGAGTTCGAAAGATAACTCACTCCTCCTTGGCTGCTTTGCGCTTAGCAGCAGAATCTCGTTGACGTTGCTCGATAGCTTGTTTCTGCCTTGTTGCTTCGCCCCAGTTCTTCGATATGAGATTTTGTGTGACGGGATCCCATAATCTCCGAGACTCGGCTTCGTCTTGTTCATGTAGAGGACGAACGTTTTTAGGGATAAGAGCGAGGAGGTCGAGATCGATTAGAGTTGTCCAATCCTGCATCATCAGCGACGGATTTGCGGTATCGAGTATCGTCAAACTTGATCCGACAGCTTCGTCCGGATCCAACGAGAGAGGAATGAGGTGGAGAGATTGGGAGTAGATGGTATGCAGAACAGAGCCCGACATACCTTCTCTCCCTTTAACTTATATCGGATTTTCTTCATCCAAGTACCCTCAATATGCGCCACCACCTTCTCCATGGGCACTTGCTTTGGCTTCGTCCAATTTTCTTCTTCCGTCCCAGGTGTATACCGGTAGATGATTCCATCGAGCATGAATCTCGGTCTGCCAAGCCACGACTGAAGATCAGCAATCTCCCAGATTGATCGCTCGTATGTGTACCTAGACGCGACCGAAGAATGATCAACTTCGCGGACGCACCTCGTCTTTGTAATCAATCAGAGCTCGCAATTTTGTTTTTGTGGGCTCTCCACCTCTGCAAGTGATCGAGATTTGATCCGATATAGTGCCATAATAGCTACCCTTCAGAATCCCATTCACCTGAGCGGAAGGATGTGATATCTGATACTCCTGTGACATGTCAATTGAGTTGGCTTGCGTGTGAAAGAACTGACCTCGCCCTGTCCTGGCCCGGGTCTGTTTATTCTGACAAAGATGCCTTTGTTGGAAGGACCTGGTCCTACTCGTACAGCTGTGACAATGAGCTTTCAGTTGCAGGCAAGGAACAAAGCCCCTTCGACTATAGATGGGTAGCTCACCCATGCCTGAGACCCGTGCTGTTATTTGATCCATACCCATAGCTTCGATACCCTTTTCAGGGCAAGTGTAATACGCCGCCGATACAGGAGGATGATGTGAGACCTGTTCGCACTGCAATATCAGTTCAGGTTCATTCATCCTCATCGAAAGATAAATCGCATGGTGGAGTGAAGGAAAGGGGAAATGCCACGAACGATGAAAACCACCGTCACTTTCTCACTCTCCACGACACCTGCATCCGGCTCGGCTTCTATTTCATCACCTGGTCCTGGAATGACTCGATTCACGCTGAGCGAAGACAGCTGTTTGGATACGGAAGCTACCGTAGGAATCTTTCGGGATGATTTGGAAGAGGTGGAAATCACTGAAATTGCGTCACTGCAAAGTCAGCAAATCTCTGCAAAGACTCTAAAGAGGTAGTCCAGACATGGTAGTCTCAAAGGGAAGAGAGCTTTCTGTCTCAAAAAAAGAATGACCCACCTTTCTAAAGTCTGTTTGCCGCCGTCTTCCGGCCGAAGAATAGGAGTCGTCCAGCCACTACCACCTTGCCCACCATAGGCTGGCTCGCCGGATACCGGCACATGTATGTGTGTTCTAACTATGGGCTCTTTGGTCTCTTTGTCGACTAATAATGGTGGAAGATGCCATGAACATCTGAAATGCTCCCCTTCACCATCAGCTGTCATTGCTGATATTCGTATTCAACCACGCACCTAGGGCTGAATTATATGGTTTCCCCAATCGAGCACGGACGAATTTGAGCTCTTTGGAGAAGGAGAATCGGAGAACAGCAAGCATCCTCCCTAACTCATCTTCGGGGTCTCCAATACTACGCATCAGCTTTCATAGATAAGCCGATGGCGCAACTGACGCGGCGAAAATGTCTGCTCTGTCTGCATATTGCCAGTACTCGAGATTTGGTATGGGTTCAAGTAGGGATGCGGGGAGGGATAGTCGTCTGGATCATCAGCACCATACTCCTGTATAGCCTTGTGGACTGACAAGTTGGCAACATCTTTCACTCCGACAAGTCTATCGATCAGCACATTGGCAATTCAATGGGGTCTGGCTCACTTTCTGAGGAGACCAAGAAGTACCTTCATCTTACTTTCCTCTCCTCCATTCCCTACCTCTGGAAGGGTAGCTGGAGCACCCGTCTCATCGGTAAATGGCTCAACGACTGCACCGTCATCGCCATGTTTATTCAGGGGAGAGGCAGCGAGGATCATAGCGACAAAGATCGGCGAACGTGCGTGATCGTTGTCGTTGTTGTTGTTGAATAAAAGTTGAGATACGGTAGGCGGAGTGGCGACACGACAGAAAAGACGAAAGCGAGTCGTGGGTGTAGACGCATCGACATATATAAGAGCAGATATTCATTCAGAGGACGGCGGGAGAGTCGTAAGATGACATGTACGGGACAAAATGGCCAGCGTCAGCGTGATCATTCATGTATGTGGCTTTGGCAAGACTACCAAGATCGCATCCGGACACAAGTATCGATCGTAAGGCTGTGTCCGGCTTGTCCGGAGATATTCAGCCGTGAAGGAAGACTCAAAGGTGATCGTCACGAACGTGGGACCACTCCAACGACAGCTCAGCTGATGGCTACGAGCTCGGTAAGACTGAGGAAGACTACACGGAGCTCATAGATTCCTATTTGTTGTTGACCGAAAGATCAATGCTTAGGATAGAAGCTGTTAAAGGGACTCGGTGGATAATGCAATCTTCTGATCTGGGAGGGAGACGGAAGGATAGACTCACCGGTATCATCATCTGTCGGTACATCGACGGGCTTGTCCTCTAGCTTGAGGGCACTCATAGTTCTCTATCGACTCTTACCGGAGCCTGATTTGCTATCTTCGATGCAAGTGTAGTATAGATACAAGACGTTGTGAGCAAAGATGAAGAAAGATAGGGGATAGGATAGTGGACGCAACGATTGTGGAGACGGACGAACGAAAGCGGGCTTATGCTTACGTAAGTAGGACACTTCCCAATCGCGGAGTGGAGCCCCATCTCCGTCTCGCAACAAAATTCAACTCAACCTCTTCTCTTGATGCCGAGTACCTCGTCTAGGTGTATGTCCAGATTGAGGGCCTGGCGTATACGTCTATCGCAGCAAAGGGTCACACTACATCGACAGAGCTTTTCCATCCATCCTATCAGATCAGGCGTATATTTGAGAGCCATGTCGGCGAGCGCATCTCCTTCCTCCACACCTCCTCCAAAGCGTCTCAAGCTAGACGAATCCCTTCCTACCAATGGAATGATACTGCTCGAGTCGTCCATCATACCAGTAGGTACATCTTCCAAGACGATTCAGCTCCAACAACAAAAGAAGAAGAAACGTCGACGTCCTCTCCCTGAGCCGTATTCTCCAGCCGATGTCTTATTCCGCGATATCTGCGATTTCTTGGGTCCTGACTATTGTCAAGTTATCCTGGAGTCTCGTAGTGAGGAAGAATGGGTACCTCCATCCGGACTGGAGATACAGAGAATATTGGAGCTGAGAGTGGGGGCGTTCACAGTTTCAGGTCGGTCACTTTCCTCCGCCATTTGGTCGTACTGACACACAGGCGAGTCGCTCAGCTTGTACGAAGAAGATGGAAAGAAATGGGCCGTCGTCGTTCCCTTTGCACATCCTGGAGATTTGATCAGAGCGAGGATCTACAAACATGATCGGTTTTGTTCTTTCGGTGGCTTGGTCGACATCATCGAGTACAGCGAGGATTATAGAGGAGGAGAGGGTGATAGACGCAAGTACCCAGAGAACGGTTGTCGGTACTTTGGCGAGTGGTACGTTCAACATTTTTTCCGCTGAAACGCAAACTCTTGAGGAACCCAATACCTCGAAATGGATCTTCATTCACCAGGAACGCATCGGATCATGGTTAATGATGTATGATTGTCGAGTGTCTACCCCAGAGAGAAGACGGCTCACGGTCAGCGGAGGATGTCAACTTCAACCTATCCCATATCCCCTTCAGCTTCTCCACAAACGCCGTACAGTGCAGCTCGCCTATCAACGATTCTCTGGTCTACCTTTCGAGCAAGTACCAATCATTCGAGAGACTATCGGTAGTCCTAAACAGTGGGGTTATCGGACTAAGATCACACCACATTTCGATGCCCCACCAAAATCTCTTCAACGTGCTGCGAACATCACCAAAAGGCACCCTACCCACGTGTCAGAATTAGAAGAGGAAGGGATGAACGCACCTATTGTTGTCGAAGAGAAGAGAAAGAAATGGGAATGTAGGATCGGATTTGAACGAAAGGGTAGGCCGGGGGTAATGGACATTGAGGTATGTCTGTCTGTCTCACTTCCCTTGTACTCTCTGCGGCCTTCTGGTGTCATACCATCTCCATTCTATTTGATGTGGAGCAGAAACCGTCGCATATTTCATGGCGTATACTAATTGCAGGAATGTCCTATAGCTACTCCTGTTCTAAACGAAAAACTCAAGGAAGAGCGTGCCAGGATAGAACAGTCAGCCCATACTTCTACACATCCACGAAAGGTCACATTGCTGAGTGACAGGACAATATTGACATTCAAAAAAGGTGCTACTCTGCTCTTACGAGATTCTTTACCCCCACCTTCCCCTATTCCAGGTATCGGGAACCCGTATAGGCATATTACAGATGAAGAAACACATTTGGCAGTGACAAATCACCGACAACCTGTTTTCGAACGAGTAGGAAATTATTTGTTTTCTTTCACAGCGGGAAGCTTTTTCCAAAATAACAATTCGATTTTAGTGCCTCTGACGGAACATGTGCAAGAGGCCATATTTCCATCATCCCTACCTCCCTCGGACTCTCCTCAGGACACCACAGCTACCATAACAGACGATTCTGCCTCTGCTCCCGTCACATCCCCAATCTCGGAAGATGTGCGGGAAACCACCACTACACGGCTTCAGGGGAGAAATCGGAGGAAGAAGCAGCCCACTCATCTGGTAGACACATATTGTGGTTCAGGATTATTTGGTATCACTCTATCTAGTCGATTCGAAAAAGTAGCAGGGGTGGAAATCAATAACGATTCCATCGTCGCTGCCAGGAAGAACGCGGAGATGAATGGTTTGGAAGGGAAGACTGCTTGGCTCTGTGGAAAAGCAGAGGATATATTTGCTGGTTTACCACAAGAAGGGTTTAAAGGGGAGAATTCATGCGTTGTGGTCGACGTGAGTCATATCTCCCTCCCACAGTCATACTTCACATTCTCCTCTATTTCTACAGACTTCAAATTTATCCATACAGTGTCTGTCAGTACGGAGGAGATTATTTGAGGTGAAAGGAAGAAAATTAATGTTAGCCACCTAGAAAAGGTTGCGATGAACCTTTTCTTCGACAACTTCTCGCTTTTGCTCCCGTCACTATAGTCTACGTATCGTGTAATGTCCACACTCAAGCTAGAGATGTAGGATGGTTTCTTCGTGAAGCTGAGAAAGGGGAACATCAATATGTTTTGGAGAGTGTTAGGGGGTTTGATCTGTTTCCCCAGGTGAGTTAAACTTGAATTTTTTCTCACTTCTGCTTTCCCATTCCCACTCTCTCGTTGTTGTCCCTTGATCCTACCCGGAATCGCAATATCTCTCTCCTAATTTTGCCGAGGGAACTTTTGACGGTTTTCAGTCCCAGTGATCCCAGGATGACTACTGATCCTAGACCTCGCACGTGGAAAGTGTTGCTGTTCTTCGTCAAATATGATCTTTCCCCATCTACTCTAATCCCTTCATCTCGAGCTATTCCCTGATGATCCTATCTTGTCATAGAGCGACGTTTCAAAGTACGATGAACATTCCGATAATGTTTTTCTTCTTTCAAACCTCGCTTCGGCACATCGCTCACGGATCATCTCAAAATGTTAACAGTATTCGATATCTAATCAGTCTTGAGAACCTGAAGTCACGACCATATGTTACATGACAAGTCTATCTATCGACCTTACTCACTTCGTACAATGATCAATGTTGAGTACCTTTTACAGCTCCTCCGATTATACCTGCCAAAATAAACAAGATGACAACTATTAAAATGATCTTCCATTTCATATCTTTCAACCACATTTTACGTCGGGTGGCTGTAGCTGATGAACGAAAGAGTGCACTTCGAGCTTGGAGTTGATCTATATCGTCAGAAGTCTCTCCTGTCATTTCCTCCATCATCATCATTCATGTACATCGTCGGCTTTATCCGTTATTCTATTTGATACTCTCTGATGTTTTGGGAGGTTTTATTACATTAATTTGACACCGGTCCCCGCACTTGAGAGATGATACCAGAGTAGGTGGAGAAGTACACGATGAAAACGAGCGGTGCGTGGGATAAGACAACACAGGATCAATGGATGACGAAGTGAACTCACCAGATTTATCCTGTAGGGCATCTAACCTTTCTTGACGTTCAGTGACTTTATTGATATTCTCCTGCATTATACCAATAGTCTCTTGCATCACTTTTTGGATTTCTTGCGTCTTTCCTGCTTGTTCACCTTTATCTCCGCTAAGTGGATTGGATGAATCATCGTAAGCCGGAGGAACGGAGCGAGAGGAAGACGAGGAAGGTTTTCGTTGTGGTCCTGCACCGAGTAATTCTTACTGTCAGGAATCTTTCCGTAATCCCACCACCACTTTCACACTTCCATATGATGAAACTTCATATCATTCATTCTCAACCGGAGTGAAGCTACCAATTATCCTCATCCGGGGTGAGGATAATCGAGTAAAATAGAGCTGTTCCTCAGGAAATAGGTGGGACGTGATTGAGGACGGTTGAAGATAGAAAAATGTGAGACAACTGGAAGATTCAGAGAAGAAAGAGTAAACTCACGTTCTCTGGTGTCCATCCTAGCTGGTGTGTTCCGACTATTCGGAGGGAAGAACCTAGTCTCGGAAGAAGGAGAATAAGGCTCGTTCCTATCCCTCAGCATCTCTCTCTCGGAATATCTTCCTCAATGTCGTTGACTTACATTTTGATCTAATCGTCCTCCAAAGTAAAACTCTGTCTCCAAGTGCTAAAAAGCCAAGTCTGCTTAAGGTGGACGAAGCGAGGATCAATGAGTAGTATCAGAATGTATATCTGTGTTGCATACTGCTTGAATCGTCCTAAACATGCATTGTCACAAACCTACCTTTCATCTTCATCTCTCTCCTTTCTTCAATCTTCCTTCATCTTTCGTTACTCTAGTTGATAACGTGCCACACTGCCACATGTGAAAATCCCACGTCACACTCATCTGACAGCGTCACCGCCCACCTCCTTCCACCCTCCTGGTTAGATTCTCCTACCTATTCTTCACACACCATATATACATATCACTCCATTTCACAGATCACAAAGAGAGTAATCAGACGTATAGATAGTGAAAGAGGTATTGATTATCTGTAAAATCGAGAGTGGGGTGAAAAGGGCAGAATGGCCGATAAGCCAATCACTGTAAGTCTGCACACCGTGGGGAAGGTTCGCTGATGTTTTAGTTCACTGAGCACCTTCAGGTCAGTTATCGTTCTCAGTTTATCCTATGCGACGTTAGAGTGAGAAATTCAAGAGAAATGATAGGACATTGGACACGACGGAGAAGAGAAAAGAAGAGTGGAAGAGCGAAAGAAAAGGAGGGAGAAGAAACGAGAAGAGCTGATGGTATTAGCTAACTGCTTTGGGTATACAACCCACTTCTATCTCTTTCCAAAACCTTACATTTGAGAGTGATCATTTCATCTGCGTGTGAGTATATTTCTCCTCAATCAGCAATACAATGTCACCAATTGAGGTGGTGAAATCACTTCATCGTTCTTTCATTCCTCTCTACGTTTACATCCCTTCTGTCATTCCATAATCAACCCGACCACTTCTGTCCTACACAACCCTCATGTCTATGGGGATGAGATAACATGGGAATGAGTCACATATTTTAAGGAGGAGCTTCTAAGATACTTGGTAATGAAGAGAGCTGATGACCAAGTCGGGAAACGCAGAATGATACCAACCAAGTGGTCATTGTCGATCTTGCCGATGCTAACAATGTCATTCGTCGACCAAGTGAGCTCTTCTCGGAGTGATTTTTGGTCATGAGCTGAGAACAGTCACGGCTGACTCAGCTATCATGCATCGGAAAGAAAAGATTATAGCTCTTAAATGTTAGTGTTCCCTTGAACCTTTCTCCCTGAAAATCACTTTATAAGCTCTTCCCTCTTCTGTCCTGTCCTCTGCTGTCCGGTGCGTAGTAATAGTTGTTTATCTCTCCTTGTAATTACCGCTCGGAGCTGAATAATGATTCGTATTCGTCTCGAAAAGATTTCACATAACGCTGCCTGGTGATGATCACTCTTCTGGCAGTGATGTATGATCAGAAGTAATAGGGATAAGCTTCGCTCACGAATAGCCGGACGACAATTACAGGTCTTCAACTTGGCTACAAAAAGCAAAGTCGGCTCTCATCTGATGAATGAAGATGTAACGTTTTGGTCTTGGATATCTGATACCACTTTAGGTTTGGTAACAGATACTCAGGTGTATCATTGGAAAGTCATTGAGGGACAGGCTGCGCCTACTAAGGTGAGTGTGTGACATCCTTCTCTACGTCCGTGAAATAGCTCGACGTGGTCCTTCGGAGCTGAGAGACAGGTCTTCGACCGTCATGCCACCCTGGCACAAAATCAAATCATCTCCTACCGCGTCTCACATGATGGACAATGGCTCGTACTCGTCGGCATTTCATCTAACCCCAACGCTGGCGCTCCAGGTCAAACTTCCTTCAAAATCAAAGGGTCGATGCAACTCTACTCAGTAGAAAGAGGAGTATCACAACCTATTGAAGGACATGCGGCCGCCTTTGCACAGCTTAAACTAGATGGCGGGGCGACCCCAAGCAAACTATTCTGCTTTGCGGTCAGACAAGCCAATGGCGCTAAGGTGAGTGACTTCTCATCAGAAGTTTTCTGGAGATGCTGAGATAAAGCTTCATGTGGTCGAGATCGGTCACCAACCTCCTAATCCCCAATTCCAAAAGAAAGCGGTGGACGTTTTCTTCCCTCCTGAAGCTGTCAATGATTTCCCAGTCTCTATGGAAGTCTCAGCCAAGCATGGGATCATCTACCTTGTCACTAAATTCGGTTTCATCCATCTCTACGAGATTGAAACGGGCCAGTGTATTTACATGAATCGTATCTCCGGCGAGACGATCTTCACCACCGCCGAATACGAATTGCAGCATGGCATCATCGGGGTGAACAGAAAGGGTCAGGTTTTGAGTGTCAGTGTAGACGAGGAGACTATTGTTCCGTATATCCAACGTGAGCTGCCATTATGGAAGTATGATCACCGCTAATCAGCAGAATCTCTCAATAATCCCGAACTGGCCATCAAGCTTGCCACTCGCGCAGGTCTTCCAGGTGCCGAAGGAATGATCCAACAACAATTCCAGGTGTACATGCAAAGTGGCCAATTTGGAGAAGCTGCCAAGATCGCTGCCAACTCTCCTCAAGGATTGCTGAGAACACCTCAGACCATTGAAATGTTCAAAAAGCTTCCAAACGTTCCTGGAACTCTCTCACCCATCCTACAATACTTCGGAATTCTGTTGGAGAAAGGAGAGCTGAACAAGCACGAATCACTGGAATTGGCTCGACCGGTCATACAGCAAGGCAAGAAACAATTGCTGGAGAAGTGGCTCAAGGAGAACAAGGTGAGTCCATCTACGTGTCAGAGAATGTTCTTGTCTGATCTCAGCTTGAATGCAGCGAAGAACTAGGTGATCTTGTCCGAACGGCCGACATGAACCTCGCTCTCTCGGTCTATCTGCGTGCCAACATTCCGAATAAAGTGGTCGCATGCTTCGCGGAGTTGGGTCAGTTTGATAAGATTGTCTTGTACTCCAAAAAGGTCGGCTACACCCCCGACTATGCCCAGCTTCTACAACATCTAGTCCGAATCAACCCCGACAAAGGTGCCGAGTTTGCGACTCAATTGGTCAACGATGAGGCCGGGCCAATGGTCGACTTGAACCGAGTGGTCGATATCTTCATGTCGCAGAATATGATCCAACAGGCAACATCATTCCTACTCGACGCACTGAAAGACAACAAGCCCGAGCAAGGTCCTTTGCAAACTCGACTGCTGGAGATGAACCTTGTCAATGCCCCTCAAGTCGCAGATGCTATCCTCGGAAACGAAATGTTTACTCATTACGACCGTCCAAGAATCGCCAATCTGTGTGAGAAGGCTGGCCTCATGCAACGCGCGTTGGAGCATTACGAGGACGACAACGATATCAAGAGATGTATCGTGCACACCAATCTTTACAACTCGGAATGGTTAGTCGCTTACTTCGGTCGTTTGACCGTCGAACAATCATTCGCGTGTTTGGATGAAATGCTTCGCACCAACATGCGACAGAATCTGTCCGTCGTTGTCCAGATCGCCACCAAATACTCTGATCTTCTGGGCCCGGTCAAACTTATTGAGCTGTTTGAGAAGTTCAAGAGCTCTGATGGTGAGTGCATCAAGATATATCAATGTTAGTTGGCTGATGACTAGGGCTGTACTACTATCTCGGATCAATCGTCAACCTCAGTGAAGACCCCGAGGTGCACTTCAAGTACATTCAAGCTGCGACGAGGACGAATCAAGTCAGAGAAGTCGAACGTGTCTGCCGAGAGAGTAATTTCTACAATCCCGAAAAGGTCAAGAATTTCCTCAAAGAAGCTCGACTCGCCGATCAACTACCGCTCATCATTGTTTGCGACAGATTCGACTTTGTACATGATCTCGTTCTATATCTCTACCAGAATGGCTTGACAAACTTCATCGAAATCTATGTTCAGCGGGTGAACTCGGCTCGTACTCCTCAGGTCATCGGCGGACTTTTGGACGTAGATTGTGAAGAAACGGTCATCAAGAACTTGCTCATGTCAGTCACCGGCGAATTCCCCATCGACGACCTCGTCGCGGAAGTCGAGAAACGCAACCGACTCAAACTGATCCTCCCATGGCTCAATACAAAAGTCGAGCAGGGGTCCACTGATCACGGAGTCTACAACGCCATCGCCAAAATATCGATTGATTCCAACAACAACCCGGAAGCGTTCCTCAAAGAAAACAATCTGTACGATCCAGCTGTCGTTGGGAAGTATTGCGAGAAGCGTGATCCATACCTTGCGTACATTGCATATGCCAAGGGTTTATGTGATGATGAGCTCATTCACATCACCAACGAGAACCAGATGTACAAGCATCAAGCCAGGTATCTTGTCAAACGACGTGAGATCGATCTCTGGACTCAAGTTCTCGATCCCGAATCCATCCATCGCCGTGCCCTCGTCGATCAAGTCATTGCCACCGCTATTCCAGAATGTACCGATCCCGACGACGTCTCCGTGACGGTGAAAGCGTTCTTGCATATGGAGCTCCACGGACCATTGCTCGAATTGTTGGAGAAGATCATCCTTGAACCTTCTCCCTTCAGCGACAATAAATCTCTTCAGAGTCTCATGTTCCTTACTGCCATCAAGAACGACAAAGGGAAGGTCATGGGATACATCACCAAGCTATCGGGTTACGATGTGCAAGCCATTGCCAAAGTGGCGACCGAAGCAGGACTGTACGAAGAGGCTTTCACCATTTACTCGAAACATGAAATGCACGCTGAAGCCATGAATGTATTGGTGGAACATATGGTATCGATCGACCGCGGATTCGCGTATGCCAACAAAATCAACCAACCTGCCGTTTGGAGTCGATTGGGGAAAGCACAATTGGACGGTCTCCGAGTCAAAGACGCCATTGACTCATATATCAAGGCTGAAGACCCGAGCAATTTCGCAGAAGTCATAGAAATCGCCAATCGTGCTGGTAAACATGAAGATTTGGTCAGATATCTGCAGATGGCCCGCAAGACTGCCAGGGAGCCAAAGATCGATACCGAGTTAGCATACGCATATGCCAAAACGGATAGATTGCACGATATGGAAGAATTCCTCGCCATGACCAATGTGGCGGATGTCCTTCAAGTCGGGGAGAAATGCTTTGAGGACGAGTTGTACCAAGCTGCTAAGCTGTTGTTCTCAAGCATTTCCAATTGGGCGAGATTGGCGACGACTCTTATTTATCTGGGAGAGAATCAAGCGGCCGTGGATGCGGCTCGTAAAGCTGGCAACACTCAGTACGTCCAGATTTCTCTCCTCCCCTCGTATCCCCCCCTCCCCAATCCTTCTTCATACTGCTATCTAAGGTAGTCCGGGACGTTTTCTTAGCCAGTGCCCATCCGGTCCGTATTTTAGGTGCAAATTTACTTAGCGGACCTCACAAACACCGGACGTGGCCTGAGGATGGAAGCAGTCTGTAATTCATGACAGGGCTAATCATACAGGGTGTGGAAGCAGGTCAATGCTGCATGTGTAGACAAGAAAGAGTTCCGTCTGGCGCAGATCTGTGGTCTCAACCTGATTGTGAGTTTCTCTCCGACCTCGCTTTCCTCCAATGATGAAGACACGGGGCTATGCGGAGGTGACTGACCACTAGGTGCACGCTGAAGAGCTTCCGGCTTTATTGTCTCTATACGAACGTAATGGGTACTTTGACGAGATCATACATCTCATGGAAGGTGGCCTGGGTCTTGAGCGAGCTCACATGGTGCGTTCCAAGTCTCTATCTTTGTTCCCCTCGTCCAAAGCTCCTGCTACGCAAATTTCAAGCACTGTATGTCGGAGCGATCTGTCATTTTACCATCTATCGAGTCATTGCGTTGTACAGTTCCGTTTCCGCAGCCCCGGCACATGAAAAAGGCAATTTAGATCGTTCGCATACGCTGACGCACCAGGGCATGTTCACCGAGCTCAGTGTACTGTACGCCAAGTATAGACCTGAAAAGCGTCAGTATTTCTGAGTTCCTCTACAAACGGCTACTAATGGAGTAGTCATGGAACACTTGAAGTTGTTCTGGCAGAGAGTGAACATTGTGAGCTCGAAGCCATAATTTCAAGTCTGATTAGCTCATGCTCCAGCCCAAAGTCATCAAAGCTGCCGAGCAAGCACATTTGTGGCCCGAGCTCGTGTTCTTGTATATCGTTTATGGTCAGTTCTTCCTCTGACCTCCATTTAAAACTCATGAAGCGCCCTTGTCCCGCCCCGTACCTCTTAAGATTGCACTGGCGCATTCGTACTCCTCTTACGCTCGGCGCTCGGTGACTCTTAGTATTGTCAGACTGCTGTCATGGCTTCGTTGCATGCGGACAGCACTGACTATCAGATGAGCCCGACAATGCCGCCTTGGCTATGATGGAGCGTCTTGGAGAATGGGATCATGACCAATTCAAAAAGGTTGTCGTCAAAGTTGCCAACATGGAGATTGCCTACAAGGCCGTCTCGTTCTATCTCAGCCGACAGGTGCGTCATGTTAATATGACTTCGCTCCCGCTCCTACACTGTTGTTTGATCTTTCTAGATCACTTAAAATCAGGAATTTGAGAAACGCTGCTTACTTGTTTCAGCCCACTTTACTCCCCGATCTCCTCGCTGCTCTCACACCCCGACTCGATCACGGTCGAGTGGTGAAAATCCTTCAAGCCGAAGACCACCTACCTCTTGCTAAACCTTACCTCATCGCTACCCAAAAACTCAACATTACAGTCGTCAACGAAGCGTACAATGACTTGTTGATTGAAGAGGAGGATCATGTCACACTTCGTAGCAGTTTGGAGACGCATGATCAGTATGACGCTATCAAGCTGGCCAAGAGGCTCGAGACGCATGATCTGTTGGAGTTTAGAAGAATAGCAGCGTTGTTGTATCGAGTGAGTTTGCCCTTTGGTCTCTTAATCTTTCACAGGCTCTTCCTTCAATTATATCTGCATATGACTGTCCAAGGTTTCGCCTCCATTTTATGATCTTCCTGCTCGATGCGGAAGATTATGCAGAGCCGTTGCTGGCGATTCAAACAATCGTACCCTACATCCACTAACATCCAGCTCAATCACATGTACGAAGAATCCTTGGGATTGTCAAAAGCGGATCGTCTATGGCGTGACTGTTTGGAGACGGCTGCGTCAAGCAAAGACACGGCCGTGGCAGAAGAGCTGGCCGGATACTTCGTGTCGATCGGGAACAAAGATGGTTTTGCAGCCGCACTCTTCGTTTGCTTCGAGCTCGTCCGACCTGACTTTGTGGAGGAAATGGTCAGTCACTCATACCACACAAGTAATCTAACGCTGACTTTGCAGTCATGGCGATTCGGTCTTTCAGATTATTCCAAACCATACATCCTTCAACTACAACGTGATCAAGTGACCAAAATCGCTGCGATGGAGAAGGAGCTCAAAGAACTGCGGACACGAACCGTCGAGAAGAGCGAGGAACCGAGTACATTGATGGGCAGTGGTCTCGGTAATAGATTGATGATTGGAGCACCTACGTGAGTTGCCCAGAATCTCTTTTGGACGTGATCAGAGCTGATGACTAGGGGCGCACCTTATATGAACGGCGGCCTGCCCAATGGTGGCCTAATGGCTCAGCCGACGGGTTTTTATTGATATGACATGGAGAGAACGAAGTGGGGATATGACGAATTGGTAGAAAGCATGACTTTGTGAAGATAGGCGACAATCTACGAATGAACGAGATACCCCCTCTGGCTGAATGATAAGATTTGCTCTAGTCCAAATTATGTGAGTCTGACTACGATTACTTATTGGCAGAATCGTTAAACCGGCGTGAGCGTACAACAAGATCAGTGATGCCGACTACTGACGATAGGAGATGAGAGCGAGCAGCCGAGGTTGAATACTAACTAGTCGTCCTCCTTTAGCCTTGGACTTCCTGACACGCTCAGGACAAACCACAATGCATTTCAAGGAGGTATCGCCTCTGTATATCCCATCATATCCGTGAGTATCGCTTTGTCTCGAAGAGTCGGATGTTCTACCGTCTTCTCCGGTGCCCCGCTCGGTTTGAGTAGAAAAAGGTTCCATAGGGCGGCTTGCTCCAGGATAGTGAAATCGGGAGGATGATTTGTCGAAGAAGGATTGGCCGACTTTTGCCGACGGAGGTTGTTTCTCGCAAACCCCTCAACACCCTTTTCGAACTCTTTGAACATGCTTTGGAGAACTGTCAGAGCGAAAGGGGTAGACGATAATGACTTGGAAGTGTCATCCTTGCGGACTTGATCGGCTTCTCGCAACCCTACCCTTCCTGTCCTCTCCTCCAGATCTTCCCTATGGTTGTGGCAATAACTGATGATTTGGGCAAATGTTTCCTCGTTAGGTAAATCCGTCGTCCTTCCGCGACTCTTCGCTTGATTCAGCACGATCTCACAGAAATTATGTACGAGTGTCAAATGATTACTGAACGCCTCCACATCAGGCTGCGTGACAAAACGTTCTCTAGATGATTTGATTACACTCCATGCCGTCCGTAATTCATTCAGATCTTTCAGAGAGTATGACCGCTCAAAGTAGGGTATCTCATCTGGATCATTTCCGAACGGTATCTTTCCTTCGACCAATACGACGTAAATACCCCTTTCTGTCGACGGTAACGAAATCACCTTATAATCAACCTTTAAACCTGTGGAGCCGACTGGTGAGGTGTTTCTTGGCCCCTCGGAGAAAAGATCACCAGCAGTCTTTGACATGAAAGTCCCGTCCGTCATTTCACTAACAAATCGTCCCCCGAGATCCTTGAAATTTATATGACGTGGTTTGACCCGACTACCGAGGATTCAGGATGAGACGTCAAAATGGAGCGGGGTGAAAATCGCCGTTTCGTTCTGGAGCTTGAAGCTTGGAGGAGAATGTGGATACCATGTTTGTCCTTTCATCAGCTGAGTCATTTGGAGGCAGTGCAAGGGAGAAGGTTGGAGCGCGGAGAGTTGACGATGGACGATGGACGATGGACGAATCGGAGAGTCGGATACGTAATTCTTTCTGGTGGAGAACTATGACATCAAGGAGGTGAGGAGGTGAGTTTGAGGGGTGGGAAAATGACGTATGTGAGGAGTTAGAAGCGGGGTTCGAAGGTTTAAGAGGGTAATGACGTCGATGTTGACGTTTTGAATTCGGGTCGAGGGATTGGTGCTTCATAGGTCGGTGGTTTCGTTTCAGTGGAGTGGAAGGAAGGAATGTGTGGAGGTTTGGTACTGTGGGTGGCAGGGATGTAATGGTGGTTGCAAGTGGTCGTCGATCGTCGATTTGGGTAAGGAGGCATGAGGATGAATGGATGGAAGACGGAGAATGTGATATTGATGATTCAAAGCTGCGAAATAAATAAATAAAAACAAGTATCATGACATTCTACCAGAATAGATGATGTACGTACAACGACTATGAAAAGTACTCCTTCACTCCAAGTCGCTATAGTCTAACCCCTCGTCGTCGTCCGTTTCGCCATCGCTGTCAATCCAGGAAGATTGGAACGGGACATGAGGTGATGAAATGGCTTTGGAAAGGGATGTCGGAGGCCAGGAGGTGATGTAGAACCTGGAATTCGAATTCTCGTGGAACGTTGCAACACGGGGAATCTCCCAAGGAACCTCCTGTACCGAACTTATTGGTGTCACTAGGACAGAACCGCACGACTCCGCGTCTGAATCATCCTCTTCCGAGTAGTGACTCAAATCTGGTGGTGATTGCTCCTCATCCTCTGGATCCGCTTCATCAGTCGGATCGTAAGAGCCGGGGAAAACTGCATTTTGTACCAGCTGCACAAACTGCGAACGTTAAACCCCACTTCTGGATCATGATTACAGATGTACTCACCGTTTCTGGAGTGATGGTGGATACTTCGGGTAAGGAGTCGTCCAGCTTTGATCGACGTATGGCCGAGACGACTTCCTGGAGACGTTTGGACGCTTGATTCAAGTTGTCAGGCCCCTCAGGGTTGTACACAGGAGTATAAGTCTCATTTTCTCCTTCTTCTCCTTCATCATTGTCGTCGTCTTGGTCTTGATCTTGCTCGTTGTCTGCCGCCGACGCCCAAGGGTTATATTCGTCCAACGCAGTCGGATCATGTCGAAGCAGAGCGGTAAATACCTCATTGATATCGTCCGCTATAGATCTGGTTCCTCCAATCATCTCGTCACCGTCGTCCCCATCCAGCCAATCGTCCATGATTGCCCCGGCTTTTGCCATTGACTCTGCCCATTCTCTAACAGTCTATACGTCAGCATCTCCATGTGCATATCAATTCAACTCACCTCTGGGGTAATGGAGACCGTAGACATATTGTAGTTTAATTAATCTTTCAACCAAGTTTTTTGTCACTGAAGAGTTTCAAGAGAGTGAGACGTCTGATAGTCGGTATATATTGTTTTTTTTTTTCTGAGATCGAATCGATGGGGATTTTGTCCGTTTTTTTGGAAAAGCTTGATAATCCTTCTCCTATTCTGAAGATCCTTGATTCGGGGTTATGAGAGTAGATGACGATATCTCATGAGAAATGAAGATACCGTATCAACTTTAGGCGTGAGAGTAAAGGTTTTCGTATCGCTGTTTCGCTCCAGGCTCTTTCCGCCCAAGGGGGTTTCATCGGAAAGGAGAGACATGATACACGTCGTAACCGTGTGAAATAAAGGCGATACATATCGAATTCATACAACACTTGTGTCTTCGGATCATGAATAACAAGGGAGGTAAAGGCTATACGTTTCCTCGTAAACTTTGTGGGCGAGGTAAAGACAAAGGATGGTTTAAAGATGGAACTTTTGTATAGTCTTCCATCCTGATACGGTTTATCCATTTAGAGTAAGATTCGTTGGTGGTTGGTCTAGAAGTAGTCTTATCAGAAGCTTTGTCGGTTTCATTACTTCGGGAAGGCGGGTCGGTGGAAGTCTCGTTTGTCGTGGTTCGCGGGTTCGCGGATTCGGAAGGAGAAAAGAGGTTTTGGTCATCATGGACGAAGCCTGGATTGGGGGCGGTGTAAAGAAGCTTGAGATTCGTTGGGGCAAGTTTTAGATTTGTTATTTATCGGTCTTCTAATCTCCACGAGGCGGTTTCTCATACGCACGTTCTTCTTACTACCACCTTTTCACAGATCCCACAGAGGAGGGTTGAAGTGATGGGACTGACTAGGGGCTCGAGGGGTTCGTACGTATACAAAGAGACATCACTTCTGATGGAATAGAATACCAATAGATGCCGAGGTTGTCCCACTACTTCCATCATCCTCTGTGTATCAGCTACTACATTCGAAGCTGTCGAATTTGATAGCGATCAATAAGCTTCGGGAGCTCCAAGAGGTAGTAGTTAATCGACATGGCAACGGTACAAGTTTGAGAAGGAAGTCTGACTGAGAAAAGACAGATGGGTTCTCAAAGGTTGTGGTGATTGTACCAACGTATCTGGCTTTGATGGCTATTTAATTTGACAGCTTTGATATTATATATATCGTTCGTTTGGTCGCAAGAGGGCAAAGTGGGAAGAGAGACAGTCACGAACCTTGCCTGGCCGCGGAGGTGTTGGGTACATACATAACTGTCATCATATCTCTGCAAATTGCCCACGTTTGAGTTTTGGGCAAGTACCGAAGTGGTTACCGGGGTGGCCTCAAGATAATCTTCTCTCGGAATGAGAGATATCCACTGCATTTATGCGCGTCAGTTCGAATCTGGCCTTGCCCATGTATTTTACAGGGAGAGGGTGGGATGACTCGCAGCGGCAGGGCAACCTTTTGCTACAGATGCAGAAGGGAACGTGTCCTGCGTGGCTTCCCCAGCACCAAGGTATGACATTGCAGCAGATTTACCTTACCAGTAGCGCGTAGCGTGTGACAGTCAAAGAAAAAAGAATTGTATCGAGAAACCATGTGGATGTGTAGGACCACGTGGAGCCCCGCAAACCGTTCACGAGGAATTTCGATCCCCTCCTGTCCCTCGTCTTCTCCTTTTAAGTACTTCTATCTCTCGAGTATCACCAAGAAAACACTCCCGACCATGTCCACCCCCATCCCCGTCGCACTCATAGGTCTCGGAGGAGTAGGCCGTTCCATCCTCTCTCAACTTCTCTCACCAATTTTATCCGAAAAATTCACTTTGGTACTCATCGCAAACTCCCGTCTTTCCTTATCTCTCCCACTAGCAGCCCCTCTAACACTCACCAATCATTTACCAATCTTAGAACAACATGGTACACCATTAGATCTACCATCTATCATTTCGATACTAAGCACTCATCCTTCCTCTCGATCAAAAGGAAGTATTTTAATAGATTCCACTGGATCAGATTCTTTACCTGGAATGTATTCTCAAATCTTAAGTATGGGAATAAACATTGTCACTCCTAATAAGAAAGCCGCTTCTGGATCTTTATCGTCATGGGAAAATATACAAAAAGTTTGTTGGCCAATTGGTAAAGCTATTTATTATGGTGAAAGTACAGTAGGAGCTGGATTACCGATTTTGAGTACTTTGAAAGATTTAGTTGAAACGGGTGATGAGATACAAAAGATCGAAGGTGTTTTCAGTGGGACTTTAAGTTATATTTTTAATCAATTTAGTACTGTTGAAATTAGTAATGTGAAGTTTTCAGAGGTGGTGAAGATCGCAAAGGAAAAAGGATATACCGTGAGTTGATTCTTTTGGGGTTTCCCTTCTATATCAATCTCCATTTGGACGAATCGTATTGTAAACTTTGCTTGCTTGTCTGATTCACTTATCGAACAATTGAGTGATTCACTTATCGAATGTTTTCGTGGTTGAATGATTGAATGATTGAACGATTGAATGTTCGACTCGACTGGATGACTGGCTAATAAATAGGAACCAGATCCAAGAGATGATTTATCAGGTACAGACGTAGCTCGTAAACTTACGATCTTATCAAGACTAGTACCAACTTCTCCAATTTTAATCGAAGGTTACGCTTCAGTACCAACTCAATCTCTGGTTCCTTCAGTATTGCAGGACGCGAATACGAAAGAAGATTATTTACAAAGGTTAGAAGAAGGTGATGAGTATTTTGATAAAATTCGTAAAGAAGCGGAAAATGAAGGGATGGTAATTAGGTATGTTGGGGTGGTTGATATTGTTGAAGGAAAAGTAGAAGCAAAATTGGCAAAGTGAGTTATTTCTATCTTTATACAAAACTAATCTCCCCAACATGTGATAAATCCTTTCCATGGGTCGTTTTCAGTCGAGCGTCATTCCGTGTCATTGAGAAGATTCATATGAATGAATGAATGAGTCGATTGGGCAAAAGGAATGGAAAAAGGAAAAAGGAATGGAAAATTGTTAATTGTTAATTTTATTAGATATCCAAAAGATCACGCTTTTGCAACTTCATTAAAAGGAAGTGATAATATCATCTCTTTTCATACCAAACGGTTCGTCAACTTTTCTTTTTCGATCCACATTTGATTTTGCCTTCCTTCTCTTCCTTCTGAATAATGGGAAAATTTCTCTAGGGTGGGGTGTGATGATAAAACTGTATTGTCATTGTTCAACTTTCGATTTGCGAGGGTTCAACGACTTTATGGTATGGATTAGAAAGTCGGTATGGGAGCCTCGTAAAACAGCCAAATACAAGTTTCAACTTCGCAAGTCGAGGTTGAGAAATGGAGGTGGAGGGTAGAAGTAGGAAAACGAGCTAACTACAAGTTATTCACCTAGACCACTCATAATCCAAGGTGCTGGAGCAGGAGCGGATGTTACAGCTATGGGAGTGACTAGTGATATGTTGAAGATATACGAACGTTTGTGTACTGTACGGATTTAACTTGTCTTTCTGTTACCTACCCCTTCCACCTTCTTCATCTTCATCCAATCAACCTTATCCGTGAAACCCACCATATTCCTTACTACTCCCATCATTTCAACAGAATACAATTTCATCTCTCTCCTCCTTGTTCCTACCCACATCACATCAGAAGAAGGATAATGTGAGAGAGGAAAGCAACGTGCCAAATAGACATTGAACGGAAATTGAAAATATATGCATGTGAACATCTATGTATATACAATACTCGTATTCTCATCATTTATTCCGGACCATCACTTGCGTCGACCTGCCATTTGGAGATATCTAAGATTGTTGTGGATTTAACATCGTCCTGAATATCGATCTGCGAAAAGATCATAATCCTTTATTGAAGAAAATAGGAGAAGGATGTTCTTGGAATTCCGGTTCTAATCGTTTAGGTTCTGTACTTGCTCTTTGTGGAAAGTAAGCGATAGCAGGTGGAAGGAATAAACCTAATGACAGACCGACTATTCATCAATCCTCCTTCCATCAACGAACATCAGAGTTGAGTTGTACGTACTTAAAGTCAATTGTGTCATAGTGGAAAATATCTTCCCTCTCGGTCCAACGAAGACATCACGTCTTTCAAGGAGGGTCATGATCATCGGTGGGAGGATAAGTGTGGGACTGTAGGTGAGCGATCAATTTTATAACTTGGACAGATCTTAAGATGATTGGGCATTCCAATAGCGGAAAAAAGGTGTGTCGAATACACGACTTTACGTATATTGACTTAACGGTTTCAATGGTAGACTTGACAATTTGAATGGTGGATGTGAGAATTTCGACCCTGGATCCTGGAGGAACTGTATGAGTGGGAAGTAGGAAAGAGCAGGATCCAGGAGGGCTGTATGAGTGGTAAGTAGGGACAATAGGAAACCGAAAGAAGGGGAGGGATAATGACGACTTACATATTGGTGAATACCCTACTAGCGGCAGATTGCATAACGGCCATTTGACCCGCTTTTGGACTTTTACCAAGTACATGTTTGTCTTCTGCTCCAGTGGTAGGATCTCGAGTCAAAGTGTAAATCTCTACTCCGTCACGCATCTCTTTCCATCTGATACAAGATATGCTGGGTTTCAGCTGACCCCAAAAACCTTTATCTTTCCTCGTGACTATTAGCCCAGGCGGGAGAGGTACAGGTACGCATGGTATTCGATCTTGATAATGAGGGTAGGAAAAGTGTTGATGACATTGTTCATGAACTACAATCTTCGTGTGATTGTGGGGGGTGGGTCAGAGGGGGAAAGCACAAAGTAGTAAACAGTGGATCAGAATCGACAGAGGCAAGAGAAGACGAATGGTTTGAATAACTTACTTGACCACTCCGGCAGAAGCAACACTGGCAAAAGGAACTAATTTCCCTAATAATTCTTTTGTCGTTCTTGATACTGATAATCGAGGCACGAGACGTGTAAGGCTGACAGCGAGGAAAACAGAGGTGAACGTTGCTGCGCAATAGGCTGGAAGTCAGCGTTGATCCCAACACATCTTTTCTGGCGTACACATGACTACCGTTCGCCAAGGTACTCGTGATCATGCCCATCGCCACTCCACGATGCCGAACTTTGGATTCACGTAAAGAAGGCCACTCTTGAGAGAGATGTGCATACGCTTGGGAAAGATACTGGTGAGTGTGTCATGTGTGAAATATGCTATCGAATATATGGGAGAACATGACGTGGTCTGTCCGATCGCAAACACGGGGGAAACGGTTAGAGGAGTAGGAAATATTCACCAGTGCCTATCTCAGTCGGAGTCATTTGAATGCTCTTATTGGCATTACTAAAGTTGACCGCTACGTTGAGAGTCTGATTTGCCCATTGCCAAAAGATCACACTACGAAGGCTAGGATTAGGCATGAGCATACCTGCCTGATTGTCAGTCGGTCGGGTTAAATTCCGCTGGAGACTAGCCCACGCATATTCTGTATTGTCAGCTATGGTCAAAGAGTCAATTATAATCTAACAATTGAAGACTGAAGAGTATATGAGAGGAGATGATGTACGTGGACACAGAGGAGGCTGTAGGCCAAGAGATGGGTGTGAAGACGAAAATACGAAGTTGAAGATAAGGGTGAGATTCGAACTCACATCAAGTTGGTAGGTACAAAAGCCGACATTCTGAAAGGTAATAGCACTGGTTTGCCAGTATCGGGATGTATGGAAGAGTCTACCACTGGTCTGTGAGCTTCTCTTCTATCATATCTCTATATGATCCTGTATAGAGACGAGAAGTAATTGAGGGAAACTGAGAAAGAAACCGAAACAATTGGGGTTATCAAAACCTTAGGAGAGAGCGAGAGAGAACAGAGACAGTGATTGAGGAACACTGTAAGATAAGATGCAGAAGAAAGACCATTACAGGGAAGGCGAATGGCGTATAGATAAGATGAAAACCAGGGTCACAGACTAAAAGATTTTGAAAGAAACTGACATTGTCTCGCTCGTTCATATTTATCTTTCTCATCCTTACCAACCCGATATCCTTTCGGACCCGAATCTTTGATAGAAGCTTCATACTTTCTTACATCTTTCTGAGCTTGGTCCAATTCTGAAGATGTAGCGAGTAAAGTGAGAGGGGAAGTGGTAGAGTAAAAATAAGCTAATCGACCAGCTGAACATTAGTGAGTTTCCTTTTTCCTGTCCTTTTCCCAAATCCCACAAATACCAGTCATATGATTTCAGTCTGGTCGTTATCCTAACCCTGACACCTCCAACGTCCAGATATGGTGGTCCTCACATCATCATGGCACGGGCCGCCATGTGGCAATGCTACAGCCGACCTTTGACAAGATAGTATCAACACGAACAGAGATAAGTACAGTGAGAGTGAGAGTAAAGAGGACGGTGGAAGAAGACCTCACTATATGTGCTCAGGTCGAAACGGGGTTTGGCTGATCATCAGCTTATTCTCGAATTCATCACGTTGAAGGATGCGGTATACCAGATGAAGGAATGAGTGGGACTACTTACAGATGTCATACAAATCTTTATGGTCCATTTCCCTGTCCTTCACCATCTCTACACTCTATCAGTGAGCCTCTTCTAGAGTTTTGACGAGTTTGATGCCGGTGTACTGTAAATTGGACAATGTCAAGGAGGGTCTGACTTTTGGTTGGGTGAGGGACGGAGATAGGATGCATGTCCGTTCACCCCGCGTCATAAGATCCCTCCCTTCTCTCTATGACAAGTCTAAACACAGCTCACCCTTTCCCGCTATACATCTCTTCCCAAGTGACTCTTCCCTCAATCTACCAAGCTCCTAGACTTTAGTCCAATACAAACTGGAGATAAACGGGACCAGGTGTATCACAACACAATCAAATGGGTCTCCTTCAATCCCGTCCTTCCCCCACTCCCCCTCCCAGCCTCCCATCCATCGGACCGACTCAATCTCAACCTCGCGGCCCACTCTCATACTTTTCCATCCACTCTCCCCCAGATACATCACACACCCACGACCTTCCCACTTCAACCGACACCACCCTCGTCTCCCATTACTTGACTCATAAAGGTTTACCGGAAGATGTGGTGGATCGAATACTCGGTCTGGCGGAGTTTTGGTCGCCATGTAGGAGACATTGTGGGAGAGAGATATGTGTTATTGCCGGTACTTTGATTTCTAGAAGAGGGGGAGCTTGGAGTAACGGACAAGAGGAGGATCTGACTAGGGAAATGGAAGAGAGAGAAAGGGCTGATCAGATGCAGCTCGTGGAGGGTGTTACCGAACTCAACGAGGATGGAGATGTAGAAGAACATATACGGGGAGAAGGGGTTGCGGTACATCAGAGAGAAGCAAGGGGAGAGGTAGGCGATGGCACTGGAAACCAGGGAGGGGGAAATAGGGAGGAAGAGGAAGATAGAGTTAGAGATGCTTGGAGTTTGGACAGAAGAGGAGAAGTTTGGTTTTTATCTTCCGAGCCTATTGGTTGTTCTCATCGTACTCTTTCATCTCTACAACCTTCTCAATTTCAGCATACCCAATCATCACCTACTTCTCAACTATCAAGCTCTCCAGAATCTCCTTCAACTTTCTCACATCCTCAACCATTACAAATCCGCCAAACAGCTCAGAAAGTCTTCGAAGGGAGAAAGGAGAAAATTTGGGTGTGGAAGATTGTCGTAGATACGTTGTCGAAAGATCAAGGATGGTCTAGTTCTGGACAACATTACGGTGAGCCTCACCTTTTTTTACTCGCTACTTCTCTGATGACTTCCTCACAAAAGGTTTTCAATACTTGCCATAATCTTATATCTACGTCCTGTGATGACCGTGAATTCAGACTGAGACGGTCCTGAAGGAACGATAGCAAAGCTGATGAATAGGAACATACCAACAATGTTATTCATGGTTCGAAGTAAGTCTCTGGCGAGATGGTAGAGAAGTCGAAGGAAGTAGATGTAGTATTCAATCGAATGTTCATGGTGAGTTCATCTATACCGCTTTCTTCGTCTCCCTTACCTATCTCTGTGGCTTGCTCTCTTTGTACGTCTGAGGGATCGCCATACGTTCACAAGAATAGCATTGACAATCCCAATTTTGCAACTGCTGGCATTCACGAGCTTTGATGAAGGTTTACGATGTGGAAGGTGAACTGACGATCAGCTGGACAGTACTTTAAATCTCATCGTAACGTCCTAGGACCTTCTCATTCATTAGTTCAGCAAGCTAAACAAGGGGATAGAGTGATGTTATGGGCTAGAGCTCGGTATCCCGGTTGGAGGAATCATGTACGGTAAGTTTTCTCCGTATACTTCTCTTCTTATCATATCTCTCAGTCCATCCTCCGAGACATTGGCATGTTTGCTTCTACATGAACATGTCATATCGAGTGAGCTGTCAGTTCCAACCTGCTCCCGATTCACGCTGCTTGGACGAAGATGAGGTGTCAGGACAGATGAATGAGGCATGACCTGACAAATCAGGGAAGCATCGATAACCATCTACACAGCCCCTTTCCCTCCTTCCGTCTAATCGTCTAATTCATCTCACAGTTGTTATATACTGCCAGCAAGTTGTATGCACATACTGTACCCGCATCGCATCGCATGTGTGTACTAAACCCTGAGTCGGCGTCGGGAGCATGTGATTACCGAGATGAACATGTCCGATTCCCTGGCCCTTGGGTTGTGGCACCGGTGAAGGAGAGTACCAATGGGCTTATGAACCTGTCATTCATGCTTATGACTACGCTCTTTACGATCGTCTCGGTGTGGACTGTAGACTGCTCTTTGCATGCTCTGCATACGACGAGAGGAAGAAAGTCAAGGATTTATACATTCAAACGCCGGCGACGGCGGCCGGAGTGGAAAAATAGTAACAAAGTTGCGACTTTGCTGTTTCCCGATCGATTGCCGGATGCTTTAATCTTTCCGTCTCTCTCCGTATTACTACTAAAGTTACTCACTCTCAACACTTGACTTCCTTACCATTTCTCCCTTGTCATATCATATCCTCATCCTCATCTTATTCACTCTACTACTCTCAGTGTCACTATCACCTTGCACCTTTTCAACCGTGTGAATGTGAGAGAAAACGAGACGTACGTCGTACGTCAACCTTCAAAAAAAAGCGGAAAGGTGACATCATCATTCCCTCCTTCCTTCTCTCGCCCTCTCTCTCGACACTCTTTCGACAATCATTCCCTTCCCCATAACATCTTCTCCATCTGGTTCTCCGCTGATGCTGATCAATTTTGACAGTTCCGAAACATATAGATCTTCAGAGCTTATCGTCTAAAATTGAAGACTTAGAAGTCTAGACTTATGACTTTTGGATTTGGGGTGATAGATTTCATTACGGCATAATCTTGCTTAAAGTGCAAAAAGTTCCACCACCACAGGTTGTTCCACCTCTTTGCTTGTAAAATTCTAGATACAAGATACATTTTCGGAGATAAAAAGAGGGTTAGTGGATTAGTTGATTAGGCCTAGTGGGGGAAAAAAGAGAAAGACTAAGGGGAATCAAATCTTGAAAAAACACACATTTGTATCATACACGAGGTTCGGGCATGTCACATTGCATATGTGAGTATTCTTCATCATCTGCCACTTTTAAAGGTAAGTAAGCTTGACTAATTTCATATCAGAATACATCGTCTTTGACACATGATGGAAGGACATGATGAAAATGTCAATGAAGGGATTTCTTCGTCGAATATAATAAGAGAAATAATGAATTCACATCCTTTAGAGATCACTTCGACATATGAAGAAACATCATCGAATGATATAATCTCTTCTTCTTCTTCTTCCCCTCCGAATATGACCAACTCAGAACCTATCATTCCTTCTGGGTCTCATGAACCGACTTCCATGGTCAAAGTTGAAAGAGCGGTATCTACAAGACCGACCACATCGAGGATATCACCAGAAGAAACGACCATGAAGATAGGTGGACAGTCAGAAAGAGTGGATGAAAGAATATCAACGGGAACCCATGATGAGAAGAATCTGGAATTGAAGAAAGATAAAAATCAAAGAGAAATTTCATCTTCATCTTTACAAGAAACGGATCATATGTTAAATGATTCAGTAAAATCACAAGAAATAAAACAAACTCCACAACAACCTTCTAAACCGATGATACATCTTAGAGTATTAATAATCTCTGGTCAAAGTCATTTATTCACATTCGAACCTACATTCACCGTTGGAAGGGTTAAAGAACTTATTTGGAGTATGTGGCCTTCGGAATGGGTTTCTCCTGCTCAACCACCTTCACCAAGTTTTATGAGAATTTTATTCGCTGGTAGGATATTGGAAGATGATTCGACTTTGATCTGTGAGTTTTTCATTTATTTTTCCATTGCTTTTCCTCGCAACATTAAACTTGTGTTCATAACGTGTCTTGAGAAATATACGGGATTTCTTCATATATATCAAGTTGTTCGATTCTTCTTCTGGAGGTTAATCCCGCCGAGTCATATAACACCGCCCGTCGCTCGGGGGGCGGTCGAGGGGACTCGACTAGATATTTGACAGCATCCTCCGGTTCTATTTTCTTACCTCATGTTTTGGTTTTATCACGTTGCTTTACGAAAATGATACAAAACGTCCCACGATGTTCAAAGTTGAATTTGTGTGAGGTCTTTACTGATAGCCAGCTAATAACCTTCCCGCGACTTTATCACCAACACCACCTACCGTCATTCACCTCTCTGTCAGATCTTTTTCAATCAGGAATGAAGATGGTAAGTCTCTATGAACCTGTGCCTTCTCCTTCGCTTCCTCTCAATCATATATCATTACACATCTTCACCTCATCACCTCATCATCCATAAATTTCTCCGTTCCCTGTTTCTTCAACAATGCACATAACCTTTATCGCACTTTCTCTCCTTCAAAGTCTTGTCATTTCATTCGCATCTCCTGGCTGTCTTACCCATGCCTGTCTCAGATTTTCAAACCGTCTCAACCCTGAACCATTATCGTCGTCTAACTCATCCTCACCTCATCCTCTAAAACCCAATTAACCAACTTGATAAACCTCTTTACCTGAGCTAATTTCAGATCCAAAGAAAAACACTGTATTCCCTCCTACTCGACACGGTAGAAATACTTCCACAGACGAAGTATCACGTTGTCGATGTCTCATCATGTAACTTCTTTTCAATCTCTTCATTCCTTCGAAATCATCAATTAGCATGTACGGACAACATGACGCAATACTCCTCTCATACAACTTGTGGTCAAACGACCCATGTAATGGTTTCCCTATCATGTCTCATAATTCGAAATCCCACGACATTCGTCGAACTCTTATTAGACATTAAAAATTACTTGATTAATCATTCTTTTACTCATACAAATACATTCTCTCCTCATTGTCCTTTCACTTCCTCAACTATAAATAATCAAACCGGATAATGAGGTATTGGTCATTGAGAAATTTGTACATTCAATAGAATTTTCATGTAGATCAAAGGTTTATGGGTTAATAGTGATGTATAAATTGTATTGAACAAATTTCAAAACAAATCTTTCAACCTGTTGTTACTTCGTGTCAATACCGACAGGAGGAAATTCGTGATATGATGGAATAAACTCATATCTCACTGAACATACTGAACGTATCGACTTATGACTATCATATTGACAAGTTTAGGTGAGTTGTCATAGGTTTAAATTCGACAGTACTCTACTCGTACTGTACTGTACTGGAGTATACACGTAACATATGTTAAGAGCGGACGAATGGCAGTTTGTATCGTAACAAATCATTTACATCTCTCAAGATGGAATGTAAGTACATTCTATCATCTCCTTACCTCTTGTGAATCCTCCATATGATCTTGCTATCACTACATACAAGATTCTCACAGTAATCCATCTTTCTCACTTCACGGTACATCGTCATATCCCTTACAATAACTCTTCCAGCTGATATGTCATCCGAGTGAGCTAAGGTATTTCAAATTCTTCCATCATCATCATCACCATCATCATCTCTCTCCTATTTATCATCACGAGCATGTATCCCAACGATGTATATCTGAAAGACCTTGTCGTTCATACCATGGACGGTGGGATATCGTATCTTTAATATGGTTGGTGTATAAGACAATTTTGCAAGATCTTCATAAAATGTAAAGATGTGTTGATATGTTGATGTGTTGATGTTGAAGATGCGTATGAATAATGTACTCGTACAATACCAATATGAAAACACGACTCGTTCAAACATAACTAACTTGATCTTCTCCCCAACCACTAGGAGCACCAGCTCCTACTAATATCTGACCATCTATCACACTTCCACTGGTTAAACGTTTATAAGTTTCTATGGTTTCTCCAAAACTTGATATTTGGTATATTCTTACTCTACGATCAAAACCTAATTGTCCGTAACCGGAATAAGAAGAACCTCCATCGAAACACATCCTAAAATAAAGTCAGTCAAGAACTTTGATTGATACATATGATCCAACTTCTCCTTAATCATCTCTTCTTCTATCATCTTTATCAGTACATAATTTAGATCATGAAGTTTTTTTTTTGAGAGTTTGGACACACTCAAGTCAGACCATGTAAATCTAGGAAAGAGGTGAATGAAGGAGAGGGGGGACAATTCATGTCTTTGGAAGGGAGAACAAATATGAAGGATTAAGGGAATGTGAAGTAGTAGGTAGATGGAGTGGAAAAACATAAGAATACTATATCACTCACCATACCCCATCAACACGTCTACATCTATCGGTATTATGACAATGACCATGACTCAATACCTTTACCTCTGATACTTTAGGACTATCAAACCAATCTTCATCTTGATCCGTTCCTCCTTTCTCATAAGATTCTTTTATTGCATTATAGAAAAAACCGGAATTATGTTTACTAGCTCCTGATTTATCTAATTGAACACCTAGATCTAATTCTTCATCGTCGAAACCTGATCGATCAGGTGGGTTGTATGCTTCTGGAAGAGGTATATGAAACCACATCATGGCATTTGGTTTTGCCAATTTTGTGCTTCTTCTCTCCTTTTCGTTTGCTTCTTGTTTTCTTATAAACATATTTTCATTCCTCTTGGCAGACCCTTCATCTCTGATAATATGATTATCAGAAGAGCTCTTGGTTTTACGCGATTCGGTCATATGTTCTCTTGGTTTGAAGAAAGATCGTGAACGACGATTCCAAATTTTACCAAGATCTTCAGCTCCATCAGGTTGGAAAGGTCTAGAAATCGGTTTGATGGAAGAAGATACGTTTCTGAACCAATCTATTTGAGATCTTCACATCAGCTGGTTCATGCAGGTTTTACAAAATGTAAGAGGACAGACGTTTTGAGATAATCGTAATCTGCTTTTTGCCATGGCAGGGATACTTTTTGATATGCATGGGAATCGAGGAAATAAAGTGTGAAGATATGTATATGGGAACTATTCTGTCAACTTGGCCGAAAGCCCCGTCGGGACACTACGCTAATCTCGAATGACTCACGGATCACTAGAATGGAGTTTGATATAGTCTATTCTGTCAGCGTTGGTCGATCATGAAAGTAAGAGCAAAGGTATGGCAAAGAGGAAAAGGACAGTGATAGAAGATTCGAAACTCACAGTTTCCAAATCCATCCACTGAGGAAGGACCAGATTTGACCAAAGAATAAGGCATGCTCTGTAACAACCGGATCTGATTCTCTCGATCATCGGCAATCTCACTATCATGATTTCCAAACACTGCTGTCCATGGAATCTTTCGGTCGATGACTGGTTTGGCAAATTTCGCAAGAACAGATCGAGCGTCGTACGATGTGCTTTGACCGTTTAGTTGGTCCCCGGAAAAGACCTGAGGTTAATGAAGGTCCTAAGATATTGACGCGGCTCACGGCCGGCTAAGTGATCACAGATCAGATCGTCACATACACTTTCATGACCCAGAAGGAAGTCAGGTGCGGCCAATTGACATGAAGGTGATCGTCTGAGATTGTGAGGTGAGGATACAAGACTCACCACCAGATCCGGCTCTTCAGCATCAAGTGCTTCTCCTAACCACTCGGCTGTATCTGAATCCCCCACACAAGGAGTCTTATCGGTGTCCCTACATTCACCATTTCCTACGGAGTAATGCAGATCGGCGACTTTGTTTCATCAACAATCACTCAGACAATTGGGTGAATCACTCACTTTGCATAATCTTGAAAGTTCCATCCGAATGGAAAGTCGGCACCTTCGTTTTCGACCATACTATATATTATCAGCCGAGGTTTGCAAAGTGTCCAAGCAAATACGTACCAGGGTTACCTCTTCGGAAAGCGATATCTACACTATCCCATCTTCCTGCTTTAGCATCCACCACCTTACCTCCCTGTACCCTCTCAAAGCCAAACCACGGATCCCCATCTCCATAGACCACATCCAATTCCGTGATATAATCTTCATCCATGATCTCTTGTCTCTTCCATCCATCCCACGTCTGATCGGCCACCTTGTACCAAAGTCTCATTGCAGGTTGTGTAGGCCAGATACCAGAATGTAAATCACCAGAGGCTTTGGTCCATCCTTCCAATTCCGAAGCGATGTCTTCAGGTGGGGGGTCGGGAGCTACTCGGATATCTGTGATGAGAGGCACGTCCAGACGACGTGTTCGACGGTAGTACAGGTTCAAGTACCTATATGTCAGCAAACAGTATCACCATACAGTCGAGGGAGGGAGGGAAGAGAAGGGGGACAAAGAGGGAAGGAGGAAAAAGAACTTACCAAAGACCTGTTCGAATGTTGAGATCTTTCTCTACGATGACCCATTTACCTTTAGTCTTGTCGAGCTCGCCTGTTGTTTCTGGGGCGCAGTAAGAGCCGAACAGATAAGGAGGGAAGTAACATGGTCTGACAGCGATTTCCGTCACTCCTGTTCAGCATTCGAAGTCCCAACTTGTTAAGTGATCACTCACATCCGGTTGTGTGCACGGCCAAAGGGTCCTGGAGTAGTCAGCACAAAAGTCTCACACTCAGACTTGAGAGAATCAGATGAAGGAGTATGAAGATGATGATGTCTGGTATGAGAGATAAGGGGCAAAAGAGATATCATAGTAGGACAGAGGGAGGAAACATACCCAATTGTCTAACGGTATGCTAGGTACAAAATCATCATCCTGTGTGGAATTGCCAACATTCAACACGTCGTCACCCTCTTTCCCACTATTGAGTCCACTGATATCTACCACATCCCAAGATTGCCATCCCAATTGCTGTTTCTTGGCTGGTGAGCGGAAATGTGAGAGAAGAGAATAAGAGATCAGACCGAAGGAGAAGAGGAGGATGAGGGCTATGAGGGGGAGTAAAGAACGAAGGTAGGCGAACCGTGGGGGTTTGTATCGACCTGGATAGTCTGGAGCCAGACGGGGCATCGTAAGAGGGTCATTCACTAGCTCTGAGCGGCTAGCGGTAGAGATTGGTATGGGAGCGAGATGGTGAAGAAGAGAGGTGAAAGGGAGATAGAGGATAGAGTCGAGGTTCGCCATCGTCGTCATGGCCACGGTGTGTTGGCTGGCAGCTACTTACTTACCACCATTCAACTCACAACCACAAAGTATGCACAGGTTCTGATAGCTATGCTCTGCTATACAGTATGCTTGAGCAGAGCTGCAGGGCTGTCTATGCATGCTATATGCACTGGTCAACAAGACGAACGTGCTGCTAAGTATATCTTGTTCCATCCACCTCGTCCCGTGCCTGAGCTGATGAACACTACCACAACGTCATTTCGTCCCTTCACCTTCTCCTCTTCCCTTGTTCTCCTTTTTACAACCCCTGCCGACAATCTCTTGTGTATATATTCCTCCACTTTTGTAACCCAGAAAGCCTCAACATCGTCCATCTGACCTCACAGCTATGACTCATGTCCATAATCCCTCGGAACATAACTTACGACCGAACACCAAAAAGAAGGGACAAACATGACCAGTCTAGCTTACCTCAACGCCATCCATCCAGATTTAGCATTTCACGTAAATGATGATCGACCTCCTCCCTCCAGCCATGCAACCTCTTCTTCTTCTTCTTCCTCTCGTTCCTCTCATTCATCCCATTCGAATCATACCGCTCGGTCCATCACTTCCCGTCCTCGGTCGATGGACCTGGAAGGTGGGGATGTTGTTGAGACTGAGGACATAAGGTCGGAGGATGCGCAAGAAGAAGACATGGAACATTTGCAGGATGAGCTTGAGAATGCAAAACGGGAGGATGAGAAGTATGATGAAGAACAACGAAAGTCAAGGAGAGGAAGTGAGAGACGGTCCATCGATTATGGGATAACTCGGACTACATCTCCAATTGATATCGACAATGGAAGGCTACAAACGAAGATGCCACGTACGGTAACTATCAACGAGCCTTTCAAATCATCTACGGATCAGTACCCTTATACCACGTCAAAAGAAGGATCAAATTATAATCGAAGTAACACCTGGACTACCGTAACATCCCTCATTCCCTTCATAGGTGAAAAGCGAAGCGACAAAGAATATCAAGGTATTTTACCCACCCTCGTCAAATGGTTATTCGGTCACAAGGAAACATCTGGTGTTGAGAACAATGAAGAAGATCCAGATTATGTCCCACCGAAATATCGTTGGACCCCCATCCTATCTGGTTTATTACAACCGTTCTCCATTCTCCTCGAAATTCCCGGATTGACAGAACATTGGTATGTCCGTACAGTCGACGATCATCCTGTGGTGTATCAATCCAATCCCGTCATCCTCGATGTGGGCTTAGCGATCTCCATGGCATGTGGTGTAGTGGCCAATGTCGCTCTCATTTCTCGATTCCTCGAACGAAGAGTTTACACAAGTACCGTGGTCACCATCGTCGGTCTGACTCTACATGACATCATCAACGTTGTGGCGATCACGATCTTTGGTGTTGTCCATCGAACAGATGATGGTTTCACTTATTCCGAAGCGTTTTGGTTATGCGTCTGTTCGACAGCAGCGAGTATGTTCACCAACGCTACTTTGGTATACGATTTGATCAAAACGAAAGATTTCCGGAAATCCGGTTCGGGATTGACTGCCAAACAAAGAAGTCTGGTGATTATAGTAATGATTTTACTTGTCTATCTCGCCTTGGGAGCTTTATGTTTCAATTTTCTCATACCGGAAATAACATTTCAAGATTCGCTTTATTTCGTAGTGGTCAGTCTTGAGACTGTGGGATATGGAGATATAACCCCTTCTCATGTGGGAGCGAAGATATTTTTACTCTTTTACGCTCCTATTGGTATCTTAAATCTAGCAGTTACAGTTGGAACCGCAAGAGATACAATGGTAGAATCTTGGAATGCGGCATATAGGAGAAGGAGACATGAAATGATCAAAAGGCATAAAATAAGGAAACAACAAAGACAAGAAGAAAATATACGTAGGGTTGCTATTGAACAACAACTTGAAGCTATAGGTGCTCCTGTGTATATCAACAGAGGTGGAGTCCGAGCCGCTGCCAGAGGAAAGAGGCTCAATGTCAAGGCTTTGTCGGAGGATCAACTTAATGCTGCGGAGACTCAAGCTATGGAGGAGATAGCTAGTAAACAGTCTTCAGCATCAGTTCATGAAGCTTCTCTCCTTGCATTGGGTGGATCATATGGCATGACAGGTGGAATGGGCGGGAATGGGAATGGGACTTCAGTGACAAAGTTGGCCTTAGGTCCAGATTTAAAAGCGGAAGGTCAGACGAGCGAGATGGAATCTGAAGGACGTCAAAAAGCTTTGGCAGATGCTGCTAGATTGCAAGAAGAATTGACAGCCCAATCGTTGCTTAGTGAAGAGGGATATCGCGAGTTTCAAGAACGTATGGCGAGGGAAGAGAGGATGGAGAATTGGATCAAGGTGGGTGTAAGCTGATATTCCCAAGCAAACGAATTTCGAACGCTCGATCCCTTTGCTTCTTTCCGTACTGGAGTGATTGCGAGTTACCGCCAGCTGACACAAAGTTCGCTTTCGCCCTAGCCATGTTCATCATTTTCTGGCTGGTTGGAGCTACCGTCTTCGCAGCTACCGAAAATTGGTCATACTTCCTCGCGTTTTATTTCTGTTTCGTTACTTTTACCACCATCGGGTACGGTGAAATATCACCGCACACTCCTGCTGGGCGAGCGTTCTTTATCATTTGGGCTGTGAGTGCGCCTTCTTTCGTATCGTCACTCTTCTGCTCTCAAATCCCCACCTCCCCTCCTTGGTTGTCGGTTTTTCAAGATACAAACGGGAGTAACATTCCGTGTGACCGATATCTGAAGTGGATGTATACGGCGGTCAAGTGGCACAAAAGGGGCTTGCACGGGCAGAAGAGGTGGTAGCAAATAAGAATTGGTCGAAGGAGAATCTGGACAACTGGAGTACGATAGCTCATGAGCAAGGGGAAGAGGGGGGGAGATGTTTCCGAAAAGTAAAGCTCATGTCAGATCCTGGGAGTAGCAACTGTGACCCTTCTCATCGCTGTCCTAACTGAAGCTTATGCGAATCGATATAAATCCGTCGTGAGACATCGAGATCCTGGACGAACATTAGATCTTGTCAATCATTTGGTTCATCCTGATCCTTCTCATATTTCATTAACTTCCCTGCCATCTGATCCTATTCATTCATCTGGTCAATCTGTCCCTATCAATCGATCTAATCAAAACCTCACCTCCGATCCCTCCGTCCAACCACCCGATCCATCTCATCTTACTCTAACTGATCCTTCCCAACCCTCCGATCCATCCCACACATCTCACCCCATGCATCACTCCCATCTAAACCCTTTCCATCACCCCCACCCTCACCCACTCGAAGTATCATATCAAATCTTATCCCTCGTACGTCAATGGCATCTCATCATCACGGCCGAACGACTTTCAGCCGGACATGACCTTCTCTCTTTGCCTAATAATCCTCTCTACCAACTCCGTGAGGACCTACTCCGTCGATTGATGGACGATCAATCTCTCACTCAACCTCAAAGACGTCAAGTGGAAGAAGATGAAGAAGCCAAGAAAATGTTATTATGGACTGGATACGAGAAAGCCGTAGCGGGTGTTGTAAGCTTAGCTGAGGAATCTATCAAAGTACATGAATTGAGGGAAAAGGGGAGAAAAGGTTTGATAAGACTTAGTGGACCTAGGTTATGGGGTAAACATGGTGAACATTTTAAATCGTCCAAACATTCCAAACTCTCTGTCTCTCCTAAATCTTTTCAACCGTATGGTTCTTCCACTTCCCCCTCCCCATTGGGTAGCACAACGCACACCGAAGTCGGGTCATCTCGGCTGACCAAGTCGATAGGACTGACAAGAGATGAGAAAGGAAGATTACCGATTATTGAAGAGAAACAATAGGGAATATAGAATCGAACTCTCAACCTGATTTACACGCACCCTTCGTCCAGGATGGAAATGGTCTGGAGGGTGAGTTGGGAGTGGAGAAGAGGGATAAACAAGTGGAAATGAAGGTGAATCTGAATAGACGGTTTAGTGGGTAATTAGGATTTTTTGTATTTCTACTTTGTTGTATCTTCATATTGTCATGTTGCATACGTTCTGGTATCATATACATGGTACATGGACGAACAAGCTTTAAAGTTTGACAAGTAAACGATTGTCGTCCATTCCATCATTGAGCAAGGAACATGTCCGAACTCCCACACTCACGTCACTTTCAACCTTTCTCGTTCCCGAACTTCCTCATAGAAAGTTTCACTGACTTGTGTATCTGTTTACCCGGTCTACAGTTCGATGGTGTAGATTTAGAGTACGAGTGAGAGTAAGTGAGAGTATTTGGGTTCTATGGGTTCGATAACGATTACTTATTTTAGGGACGTTCCTATCAAGACTTTACCGTCGGTCATACTCTTTCTTTTCGTCATTGACCGACGGCCGAAGGTCTCGCCGTATTTATCGGAGAATCGACACGTATTCGTATGATACTGATTTATTCCATTCAAATTGAATATATATAGTACTATTTCATGCAACTATCATCTCTTTCTTGTATTGATCCACCTTTCCACCTTCCCACCTTTCCACCTTTGTCTTGTGCATAATTTCAAAAGCAAAATACAACCAAGTGAAAACATGTCGAAAGTCGTCCTTATAACTGGATCAACAACGGGTATAGGAGCAAGTACAGCTCGATTATTATCTTCAAAAGGTTATAAAGTTGTCGTTTCAGGTAGAAGGGAAGATAAAGGTGAAGAAGTGAGTTTAATATCATCTTTTCTTTTAAACACATCAACACATCATGTTTTTATCTTTCTTTGACGTACCAACATATCATATCAACCATACGAATACTAGGTTTACTTCATCGACTGAGGAAGGGTTCATCATAGAAAGAGACAAGAAAGTTTTATAGGTCTTTTTTTGATATCAATACGTGTGTTGGGAGTAGGGTGGTGGATCTGTGTGTGACACACTGATAAGTTATAGGTGGTAGAAAGTATAAAATCATCAGGAGGACAAGCTATTTTCTTCAAAGTCGACGTTAATTCAGAAGATCAAGTTAAAGAATTGATTAAATTAACAATTGAACATTATGGTAGATTAGATGCGGCTGTTAATAATGCTGCTTGTGCTTTAGATGATAAGATTTTTGGGGAAAGTAGTACGGATAAATTTAGAGAAATGATAGAAACGAATGTTTTAGGTGTTTTTTGGTGTATGCAACAAGAGGTGAGTTTGAGTTATGAAATGATGGGTGGGTGTGTAGGTGTGTAGATGGTGTATGACTCAGGTTTATCGAGGAGGTTGCTCGTGATGGGTGATAAACGAGAGGAAGAAAGTTGGAGGTGATCATTGAGATGAAGATGAAGATGGAAAAGGAGATGAAGATGGATAAGGAGATATAGCTGATGGTATCAGATCAAAGCGATGTTGAATAATGGAGGAGGAAGTATCGTCAATTTAACTTCGATGGCTGGGTTGAATGGCATTCCATTGACTTCTACTTATTCAGCTACCAAACATGCTGTGAGTTGAAAGACATTCGTATTTGACAAAACTTCCTTCCTTCGTTGATTGAGAGACATGACTATGTGTTGTTGGTATCGTGAGGATGAATGTGATGGTGGTGGTGATAGTTATGGTGGGTCTAAAAGTCAAGGTGGTGACACCGTTGAGGTGCTGTTCATCAATATGACCCCATCTCCAAACAAGAATCAACACTCATACTGACTCCAGGTCGTCGGCCTGACCAAATCAGCCGCTCTCGACTACGCGACCCAAAACATCCGAATCAACGCCGTAGCCCCCGGTGCCATCCGCACAGAGATCCTCAATTACGCCATTGAGAGTGGAGCATATCCCCTCGAAGCTATAGAAGGTATGTTCCCCATGAAACGTTTGGGTGAACCGGAAGAAGTGGCACAAGGGATAGCGTTCTTACTTGAGAATACGTATACTACCGGGACTGTGTTGAGCATTGATGGAGGTTTCAATGCGAAGTAGACACGTAGATGTCTGGATGTATCTTGATTTGCTTCGTGCGTTGGAAGTTGATGTTGGCGGAGAAAGAAGTACTGACGAGTAAGCTGAGTGAGGTCAGATAGGATTGTTAGGGCTAAAGATGGTAGGCTATGTGTGACATGTCAGTGAATCGCACCTATAAGTGGGCATTTTGAGTCGAGCTGCAGGTGACCGGTCAATGAGCAACGCAGTGGAAGTGAGGAAGATAGACACATCGATCAGGTTCGTGCATGCAATCCAGACAAATGAGAAAGAAACTATTGTGGCGGACGGAATCTGAACGTTAGCTTGGACGAGAACTCTGAGAGCTCAAACTCACCCAGGAGGCATTTGACCAGGAGGGAAAGGTGGTGGTCCACCAGGGAAACCAGGAGGAGGTCTGAAGCCGGGAGGCATCCTTCCCTAGTCAGCGACTCGCACCATTTCTGACCGCATGAGAGAGGACTACTGACCCGACGGGAGGAGGCATACCAGGTGGTAGTCCACCAGGGAATCCAGGAGGCATACCTGGAGGCATACCGGGCATACCTGGTGGGAAACCTGGAGGTGGTCTGGCATATGGCATAGGTCGAGCGGCCATTGCCACGCCTGCAAGTCAGCATGTGACGTCCCCAGTTTGTAAAACCATGATCAACTTGTAAGACCACGAATGACGATGAGTATGACAGGGATTCGTTTTCATCGCACGTGTAGCCGAATGGAAGATCGTACCGCCAGCGTCACCGTTGCTGTCGACACAGTGCAAGATGGGATCAGATTGGCGTGTCACCCTTTGGCCCGGATGAAGAGAATGGAAAGATCACCGGAGAGATACGTTCGGTTCATGGAAGAGATGACCTGAATGGAGAAAATGAAAATTTAAGACTTACCCGCTCCCAGAGGCATCCCACGTCCAGCTGGCATACCTCGTCCTGGACCAGCAGCTACCGTCTTATCCTCTTGTGGTGCAGGTGGAGGACCCTCAACTGTTACCGAGACTATTGTTTCGCCGCGAAGAATGACCAATCCGAGTGTACGTTTTTGTTGGACTGTAGGAGTGGGTTCGTTCGGAGGAGCGTCTTTTGCTTTTTTGCCCTGCGTGTGAGTTCGCGAAGTTACGAGTTACCGTGAATGGGCCAAAATTGCCCGGCTGAGAGGGGACAGGGCGGAAGGGAGAATGATATGACTCACTTTGACCGTTCTAAATTCTTCACATTCAGCCAGGACGAAATTCATATGTTTGTCATATGCCAACATTTGACCGACTAAAGATCTTCCGTCGTTTCTATGTGTCAGTGGGAACTCGAGTCGCCTCACCATATTACCTCACTGACAACCCCACGGTCAACGCCACTTTCGTCAACCGGAAAGGCTGCGAAGTGGACGATTGTGTAAGGGACATATTGTAAGGGCTTTGGAGGAGGATAAAGAGAGCTGGAGAGGAAAAGGAGTTCCTGCCAAAGTCAAAACGAAGGATAAAAAGAAGAAATGAGAGGAAAACAACACATACAAAACGACCTTTAATCTGTAATTGATCAAAGTGACCATTTTTGAATGTTTACCTTTCGGAGCTATCCATCAGTTATGTTTCATCATCGCAGAAAAGATCACTAACGAGGCTGTTGGTGTTGGTATCATATTGATATTCGAAAAAAAAAAATGGCGTCAGCTTACATCCCCATTTCATTTCTCTCTTAAATTTCCCTAGAATCCCATCTTCAGAAACAATCCTGAATGGCATGTTAGTACACTTATGGCACGAAATCCCTCCCCCGATCCAATGTGGACAAAAGTCCAATCTAGTCTCTGACACCATTGGTCACTGTGACTGTGATTCCCACTCCACGGGAAAGCAGAAAAAATAAGATCCCTGTCCATTTGATCTCTTCTTCCTTTTTTTAAGAAATAGCCGCCTGGCTCCATGAACGATTATTGGCACCCTCTAGATTCCCCGGGAGAGGTCACATTTTGATCTTTTCACCTCGGAAAATCTTTTCTCCCCAGGTCGCTTCCCTCATCCTTCTGTGTCCGACGATTTCCCCCCATGCCTCGTCTTCGATGTCCCGTTGTCCAAGTGATATTCCTCTGAGTTTCCTACATCCTCAAAATTGCATCCTCCATGTCCATCATCAAGAATCCATCTTCCATGTCCATCCTCAATATCAAAAGACCATCAATCCAGAAAATCCACTTGACGAGATTCCCTCTAGAATTATCTAACCAAAATCATATCTCTTCCACTCTGCCCATCCTATGTATCTGTAATCTCTGATAACTTGAAAGACCACCACAAGCCCACTTGTGATCCATAACATGTACCAAAAACCCTCAACAATCCCCTTCTTATCTTTGGCAGAATGATTATCCTGGATCTACCAACTTTTCATCTACTGGTCAAAGTCGCAAAACAGACTTTCTACCCGTCCGATACGTCTTGAGCAACACGGACGAGGTAAATCTTTGTCACCCCGTCCGACGGCTGAGTAAACAAGAGCAGGGTGAATAATGGGAGAAAAGGAAGTAGAAGAAAATTGATGACTCACCATTTTGTTGTGTTGTCGATCCTGTACACTGTCTATAGATAATAGTCTCGACAATAAACTTGGGCGAGTTGATAGAGGTGAATTGTGAGACGGGGTTATACGGCGTTGTGCCCCAACCCGTGTTTGTGGCGTTCAAAGGTGAATAACCCAAAAGAAAGCTTCGTCGGGATTCCCGTTGACCATTCTCTCTTCGCTGAAAGACTGTAAGCTTACTTACTGCTAAGTCAGCTTTATATATATAGCTATACGCTCAGTATATGATCAAAAGTTCAATGTCGGCTCGTATCACTGACATGTCCCAGTAAAAGTGGACGACCATGGTGGAAGAAAGGTATGAAAGATGATTGATTAAATTCCTAAATGCATACAATATCATTTATCTGGGTACAAAATGCAAAAAGCAAAACAATCCAATCATTATTCTATAACCGTAACTCATGCTAAAATGGAAAGAAAATATGTTTTATTTCGTATACCTTCCGACTGTACTAACGATCCAAAACACGATAATGTACCCAAAAACTTCTAATCTCCAAGTGGCCAACTGGGCAGATGAACAGCCAACGGGCATCCCGGTGGGTACTTCTTTGGTGAGTCGGTTATGTAATCACAGATTATGTAATAGTGCCAGCTGAGCAGATAAATAGCCAACGGGCATCCCGGTGGGTACTTTACTGGCGAGTTGATTATGTAATCACAGATCATGTGATATGACCAACTGAGGAGATGAGATAGCGAACGGGCAACCCGGTGGGTATGTATATCGAAACGTTTATTTTCTTTCTGGAGAGTGGGACAGTGTCTTCGTTCCGATTCATATCAAGACGTCGCGTAAGCCCATGTTTTTGTCCCCCTCATATCAAGACGTTGCGTAGGACGATATGTCAAGATGTCAAGATGTGACGTGGGACGATAAGGACTGTAGATATACCAAGATGTGGCGTGGGACAACTCGATCTTTCCTGTATATTGATAGCTTGACGTGACGGTGGTTAAATCTGTCTTTCCGTATGTCAACTTGTGGTGTGAGACATTATGTCTCCGAATATATCAAGGCGTGGCTTGGGACCATCAAATCCCTCCATATACCAAGTGGTGGGGTCGACGACGGTATTCTTCTTCATCAAGATGTTTGAATCCGACTTGATGCTTCCCAAAGTGTTACACTCGAATTGATATCCACAGAGAATGAAATAACCCCAGCCACTCGAATGGAATAAGCGTTGAGTTTTATGATGTCGAACAAGAGATAAATGACGATCGATTCCAATCCACCCGATCATCTTGATAAAGGTCCACCTAATCCAAACGCCCATCTACCAGCTCCTAACCCAGGTAAAGCCGTCCCTGCCCCATTACCCACTGATCCCAATTCCCTTCCATCCCTCCATCCTGGTGGACCCCATCCCCCAAATCCACCTAAACCACCTGGTCCACCGGGGACCATATTCTTTCCTGAGACGTTCTGTGATTTTTCCTTCTCATCCGTACTTTGACGAACTCGATTTTCTTCTGTACCTTGGAGAGGTTTATCTTTCTCCACTAGCTTTTCCCTTGCATTCTGAGGATTCTGAAACTTCTCTCTTTCCTCTAAAGATTTAACATACAGAGATTTATCTTTACTCTCCATTTGCGTAGAGTTTTTCTCTTGAGTATGTTGAGATGCATTCCATTGATTGGAAGAACCCCGGTCTTGTTTGGACGTCCAAGGTCGCCCTTCCTTCGATTCGACGGTCCACTGAGGTTTCACATCAGATGAGAAGGTGACATGATCATATGGATGAGTTTTGAGCCGAGAAAGAGAGGGAAAATAGCTTTCGGTTCGTCTAGGAAAGATTGGTTCTTGGATGGACGTGTGGGATGGTCGAGAATCCTGATTTGATGTTAAAGGTGGTTGAGGATTCGTACTAAGGGATGAAGGTGGTCGTGTATCATCAGTGAAAGCGGAAGGAGGTCGTGGATCATGATTCGTTGTTAAAGGTTGTCGGGGTTCATTCATGGGTAGTGGGCGGGAATCACTTGGATTGGTATTAGGTTGAAGAGCATGGGCTGCATTCAATGGAGGTCGATGATCGTCAATTTTGCCATGTTGTGAAGTGAGAAGCGGTCGGGAATCATGATTTGTAACGGAGGATGATCGAGGATCAGAAGTGGTAGTCGTCGGTAACCATTGGGTCGCTCCAATCGGGATAGGAGGAGGGAGCATATGACCTAATCTCTCTTGTCCAGAATACGAACCACTTTGTCTAGAGGGGTAAACGGGATAAGCTTCTCTAATCTGCGTTCTCGGTGGTGGATAAGGTTGTGGAGTGGGTGGAGTTTCGTATCTATTAGTTGGAGAGAGATTAAATGGAGTAGAGTTGATGAGAAGTTTTGTCGATGTTGAACTTTCTCTCTCTCTTTCAGTACTCTGGGTGCGGAACAAGCCTAGAGCTTTGAGATCATCTTCCAAATCCTTTCCCCTTGCTCCTGTAGGTTTGAGTTCTATATTTCTTCGCTGACGAAGTTCGTTGTTAACTCGAATGGGAATGGTGGGTTGTGCAGACGAAGACAAGAGACCGGATTTCCATTGTGCTTCTCTTCTGAGATGAGATTCGGTTTTGACGGGATCAAGATGATCTTTGTCTCGTTGTAGTAATCGACGTTTGTCTCGATTGATGGTGTCGTGTCGAACTCGAATCTGCTCGGATTGGAGTGAGAAGGTCCGGCGGGTACGATTTTGTTCTTCATCTCGCATACGTTCCATATCTTTAAGATTGGCACTGAGGTCAGAGATCTTGCCAGACATGCGTGACGTAAAAGGTACGAGGTCTCCGACGAAGTATGGGATATGGAAAGGATGGGGAGTTCTGATAACCCTCGACCATACAGAGAATAGGAGGATGAACTTCCGCCATTCGCACGACGTGCAGGATTGTAGGGGGAGGAAGGTCTGATAACGCTTCGGACGCTGAGGATCGGACATCGGATCTCTCTCACTCGGGGGCGAAGCCACACGGGTCATGAGGATTGGGAGAGGACAAGAGAGAGAACACAAGAGGGGATACAGATAAGAGGAGGTAGCAGCGACAATGAGGATCCATGGATGACAGATGGGGACAGAGAAAATGCGGGAAGGCAGAGGTGAGAGTCTGATTTTTGGGTAGATGGTGACAGGCAGAGAAAAACAAAATGATGTGTGATGATGACGTGATCCACCATCCCTTTGACACATGCGCGATAGAAGTAGGAACTCACGCTAATCTAGTATCCAAACACCCGCAAATCTTATTCTTCTTCGTATCCAGTGCCTCGAAGAAGATCAATAGTTCCGGATGTCGGTCGTTCAAGATCAGTTCCATCTGTTTATCCAACGACTCGAGCGCCCTGATTATTAGCTCTACACAGTTCTTTTCGCATATGTTGCCCTCGATACTTCGTGAGGTAGGCGGAGAGGGGAACAGTCTCGGTATCTATGCGAGAGGGGTCATGTGATGGCTGTAGAGAGTGAATGTCCGGGATACGTCATGTAGAAGGTGGGGAAGAGTGACTGCCCGTGATGAATCATTCGGGAGATGAGGAGAGCAGTCATCTCCAAATTTGGTATGTGATAGCTGTAGAAATCGTCACCAGACGTGGAAGCATGGCATTTATCCCAAGTGGGGGGTGTGATAACCTCGGAAAGTGTCATTCTTATTGGATCAGAGACTAGACCTTTTACTCACTCGTCAATCTGCTTGAATCTGGCATCCCGAGCAGCTACGGCTACTTGATCGTCCGGATCGACTGTCTCATCAGTATTAGCTAACATGATAGAGAAGACTCACTTTCTCCTTTACGAAAGTATTTCTTGCGTGTTCGCTGTTTCTTTTCCGGCTGATTGGGTGTGATATCTATCACTCCATTGGGTTCTGTCGAAATGAAAGCGATAGTGTGCCCATTTGGAATATTTTGCTGTGTCTTGTCGACCTCTGTTCCCAGTTCTGACTTCATCTCTGCCCCGGTAGATTGACGTTCCTCACTAAGTGTAGACGTGCTGGGTTCTGCAAGATCGGGTGAAGTGTGAGTTGTAGAAATTGGTAGAGGTTTAGTGCTTTTGTCATTTGAGATAGACCTTCTGGGTGGTTTCTTTCCTCCTTTACTCTTTCTCCCACGGACGGGGCGAGTAGGAATGGCTTCAATATCATTCGTTTCCTCTTTCACCTTCTTGATAGTCTTATCCTCACCGTCTACTTGGGCCTCTTCAGATTTACGTTTTCGTATGATGATCTTGACTGAAGTGTTCCCATTGACTGGCTCTACGCTTCGTCTTCCTTCGAGATCTACTGATCTTGCTGGAATTTCTATTGAAGGTGACATTTCGTGATCACCATTAGGTAAATGAGTGATTGTCGGAATGGTAGGGGATATCGAAGCTGATCCAGAGACTGATCTTGCTTCGGAGATAGAACCAGCGACAGAGGCAGAAATGACAGTCCCATTTTGACCTTGAGCGGCGAGACCAAGATCGCTGAATCTCGAACTCCGTCTAGTGGGGTTTCTAACAGGAGTGACTTCGACTTTCGTGGTGACTTTGGGTTGTCTGGCTGAGGATCTTGTGGAACGTGTGGAAGTGGTCATGACTGAATCAAGAGTGGGTACGGGGGAAGGAGTGAGTCTGTTTCTAGTTGCGTTCCTACGTGGTCTAGTTGTATCCGGCATAGGAATAGCGGCCGACATGATTGGAGAGGTCGTTTGTCGAGGTGTAGGAGATAGTAGAGGGGGTGGTACGCTAGAAAACATCAGCATCATCACACGTAATCGATTGAATGCAAAAGCGGAATAAAGAGAGAAAGAGATAGGGAGATGATGGAACCGGCGGGGAGGGAAAGCAGTAGTAGTGGTGGGTGTCGCGCACGTCCTTTGATACAGGCTCGCCTCAAAGGAAAGGGCAACTATTCCACCCAGACCCCAACTCGCAACCCAAGCCCTTCTCAACGAGACAAATCACCGATAGACCGAGCGCCGAGTCAATTGTCTTTTACAATCAATGAGTTTGAAACTCCGAAACATTACAAACGATATCGTCACTGGTCACTGGCTCATCACTGTACTTTTTTGGGGGGGAATTGGATGGAACAACGATCGAAGTGGGACAAAGAAAGTGTGAGAGAGGGAGTAATTACGTAAAGTTTATTCGGATAGGACCGGTGGTGTGGGCCCCCCCTGAATGGGGGAATTTTCAGGCACGAATGACGGGACGAGATCCGACGGTTCAGGGTTTTGACACAACGGGGAGGTGTGTGTGTCCCTGGCGATCAAAAGTCTTTAGTGCGTTTAGGGGATGAGTGGAGGGGGGGGGGGGGGGGAAGGGGGGATTGGTGTGAGTGATGAGTGACATGTTTTGGTAGGTAATGAGGTAGGGTGGGCAGGTGGATGCATGGGAAATGAATAGCTGGAACGAGTAGGAAGAAAGGATGTAACATACACGAGAATAAAA